AGAACCAGGAAGGTCACTCTCACCTTCTCTCCTGAAGCAGGTCATAAAACCTAGGAAAGATTTTCTGACCTTCCGCTGATGCAGATTATAAGACCCTCATTTAAGAGGTGCCCTCTCTATACACACAGGAAAAGAACATCCTTAAGTCTGAATGTGAAGGGTCACAGAGAAAAATCTGAGCAAATAGGCCTTGCTAAGTTCTTCCCAGTTTATTATTATTAGATCATACTGTTTTATCTAATTATGCTTCTCCATTACTATCCTCTTCCATATCGTAACTAGCATAAAACATACATAGGTATGTTTTATGAAGGCTCCTGTGTCAAGTAAAACTTACTAAATTGGTATGTTGAAATTTCTCTTGATAGTTGGTCTTCTGTTAGAGAGATCTCAGCCATTAATCTAGTGATAGGCGAGGAAAAGATACATTTTCTCCCTTACACCTCAGATCCACTGAACCAAATGAAATTGTTCATGCCTCTGAATCCCAGAGCCCTTTGCCTGTGATACTATTTTTCCCTATGTTTATATTATCTAAAGCAGGACAGTGCATCAGAATCTCCTACAGAGGCTTCAAAAATATAGACATGCCCTATTTAGTAGTAAAATGACATAATGTCTGGAATTTGCTTTCATACACTCCAGCAAGGGCAACAGGTACATACAGGCTCATTATACTATTCTACTCTTATGCACGTTTGAAATTTTCTATTAAAAAAACATTTGTTTTTTTAAATACTCCAGGCAAAAGAAACGTTGGGAGGATAGGTGAAATAAAACCAGCTAAATGTTGATGCCATTTAAACTGGGTGATGCACAGAAGGGGTTTACTTCACTATTCTGTTTACTCTTTTATATCTTTGAAATCTTCCATAATAAAACGTTAAAAATATACATTAATATACACATACCCAAGTCCCAATTCTGGAGATTGAGGGGTGAGAACTACTGAGTTATCGTATTTTTTTTAAAAAGCTCCACATGTGATTCTGACTTACACCCCATTTGAGAAACACAGCTTTTCATTCGTTTAACAAATATTCACTGAGTATCCACCAAGCCCTGTCCTAAGCAATAAAGATTTTACATTTAAGGAATTTATAGACTAATGCAAGGCAAAAGCATTTCAACCAAAGTACAAGGCATCATAACTGCCACAATAGGGGTTCATTGGAGATTCTATGGGTGGAGACACTGGCCGCTCCAAATGTTCATGGTAAGTGAGTACTGCATTTTCTTCATCTTTTCATCCCTATGATTCTTGGCATCATGTTCTTTACCCAGAAGCTCAAATGTGCTTCATGTTCATCTATATGACAGATATCGACTATCATAAAGAACTGGGTTTGTTTTTTTTTTTTTAACCATAAATTCTATCTCCAAGGACTTATATTTCTCTCATTTATTCATTTTAAAGAGAAGAGAAGAGGAATATCCATATTAACAAAAGTTTCACAGGGAAAGGTGTCACAAACATAGTAGTAAACCTGCTCATAAATATGAACCAAAATGAATACAAATGCAAGTAGCTGTTATCTTGGCCCTATTACAACCAACAGCAATTCAAAAACTGAGTGATCACTTGGAGACAGAGGAAGGAAGACTAGGCACACTGCTCACTTACACATCCCCCACTCCACCCCTCAGGGTTTTAAGTGGAACAAAGAAGTTATCCTAAAGCTCTACGATCTATGATCTGCTTAACAGAAACACAAGTACGGTAAAATTATATTTAATTTGTTCCAAGCATCTTAGATATTTACCTTAAGGATTAATTTTAGAGCATTAAAAACATCTTCAGAAGTTCAAATTTACAGTGCCCAGCTGGTTTCACCTGAAGGTGAAACTCAAAGTCAATTTTTATTTAAATAAGCCATGCTTATATCAGACCTTTCCTTAAACAATTCAACATACTTAAAAACAGACTGCCTATAGAACCCCAAGGCTGCTTTTAAGGAGTAATCTCTATCAGAACTAATCAATATGCTAAGTAATCTACAGAATTTAAAGGCTAGAAAGCATGATTTCCTCAGATTCTAAAACAAATCTGGTTTGATGAATTCCTATTATGTGTTAAGAAATTGAATTAGACTATGTTAAAAGCATTTAAGATTCCAAAAATTATCAACATAGTTCAAAAACACCATTTTAGAAAAAGTTTACAATAAAATAGTCTTAAACATAGCCAATTTAGTTAAAGAGGTCCTTTAAAAACATTCATTAGGAATTTTGGATTTAGATTTTTTTTTTTTTTTTTTTTTTTACCTGATCAAGGTGAGGTTGTGTTCCTGGCACATGCTGAAGTTTTTTCTGCAAACTAAAAACTACTGATTAGAAATTCAGAGATGAATACACTTCTGATTTAACTTTATACGTTATTTAGTGACACAAGGATAATGAAGTGACTTTCCATAACTGACTATTTTACTATTCTGTAATTCCAATTTTACACGTTGTTCACAAATTCCAATAGAGAAAAGCTGGAAGATTAAGTTTTTTAAAAATTTTTTTTAAAAAAACACACATTCATATATATACATATGCACACAATAAAGAAAAAATTAATCTTTTAGCAACACTATTTTGTGTGGTTAAATATGTCAGTAGATTTCTTTACCATTCCAACAGGTTTAATACAAGCTTAAATATATATATATATAACCATTCTAGTATTGCTCAGAGTTCCTTAATTTTCTCCTGCTTCCTAATGTGCAAATAATGCTGGCACCTAAAGAAAGTTAAAGGATAAATTTTCCTTTATCAATGTTTTCCCCTGAACTTATTTAAAAAACAAATAGTATCCATAAATTTTCTATATAGTCAGTTACCAATTGAGAGAAAAAGAAAGTCAGAATGTTAAAAATGCATTGTTCTGATATGAAAAGCACAAGAAGATCAATATGGCATAACAAATTACAACCATAACAACTGTAGCATACATTTCAAGATGGGGACAGGACAGGAGGGAGAAAGGACTTAAAACCTTGCAGATGTTTTGCCTTGAAGAACAGTGAGGGGTAAATTAGTAACAGCAAGTTTAGGAAAGAGAAAGAACTTGTAGGAACTATTGGAGGGAATGAGTCTCTTTGGGGGGTCCTAGTAGGGAGAATGTCAAATTAAATCCTTCCCAGCTGGTTGCTCAGGAAAAGATTCTCCTGTTTAGCAGCTAAGCACACACAAAAAAGTCATGCAACGGCCTTCTGTATAGTGGTGAGATCACATTAAATAGCTACTTCAAGTGTCACTAAAGCATTATAACTGCTCTTAAGTGTAGAATGAGATTACTTTAGAAAAACATTTTGAAAAATCATATGCTTTTCCCATATGTTCAGTATTTAATGTTGTTGGACAATGACTGCCTAAAACTTCATATGCAGCAAAAAAAAAAAAAAAAATCTAACAACGAACATCTTAAGTTTAGTTCCCAGTAAGTCTCAGAATTTCATGCCCTAAATGTTGTATTTTTTCCCTGTCATAAACATTTTTAAAAGACTAATCTAGTGGATAAGCATAAGCTACCACAACCTGAAATTCACGAATCTGAAATCAACTTACACATTAACTTGTAATCTTATAACAATTTGCGTCTCTGCACACATAAAATGTAAATTCTGTACACATAAAATGTAAAAAAATCTCAAACAGTTTAGCGTTTTGTATATTTAACCCATTATGTTCTATAAGAAACAATAATTTAGGTATTGTCAGTAAGATGGAATTAGCAATATTTCTATTTCTCCCAAGTAAAAATATGGAATGATATAAAGAACTGGATGCCTTAATGAAAGTACCTGTATTACAGCAAATTACAGCAAAAGATAGAAGTAGAAAGGAAAAACAAAAATTGATATACTGAATATCAAGGTGGGAAAATATTTCATACTCTAATTCTTATTAGTGAAATAAAGCACTAAAATATACAATATGTAAAGGGAAAAAATAAGATTTCAACTAAAAAATATTTCAGTGTTTAACATATTAAATGACAACCAACTTGCAAGCTCTTGGACCGAACAGAGATAAATTAGTTTAAGAAAGGCAAATTGTGCTGGGTTCAGTGGCTCAGGCTTATAATCCCAGCACTTTGAGAGGCCAAGTAGGAGGATCACTTGAGGCCAGGAGTTCAAGATGAGCCTGAGCAACATAGCGAGAGCCTGTCTCTACAAAAAAGTAAAAATAAAAAAAGTAGCCAGGCATGGTGGTGCAAGCCTGTAGTCCCAGCTACTCAGGAGGCTGATGGGAGGATCACTTGAGTCCAGGAGTTCAGGACTGCAGACAGCCATGACAGCCACTGCACTCCAGCCCAGGTGTCAAGAGTGAGACTCTGTCTCAATAAAATAAAATAATTAAATAAATATAAAAAAAAGAAAAGGCCAAGTGTGATGGCTCATGCCTATAATCCCGTTACTTTGGGAGGCTGATGTGGGCAGATCACTTGAGCCCAGGAGTTTAAGATCAGCTTCAGCAACATGGCAAAACCCCATTCTCTACCAAAGTAAAAAATTAGCCAGGCGTGGCAGTGCGTGCCTATAGTCCCAGCTACTCAGGAGTCTGAGGTGGGAAGATGGTTTAAGCCCAGGAGGCAGAGGGTACAGTGTGCCGACGTCGCACCACTGCACTCTAACCTGGGCAACAGACCCAGACTCTGTCTCCAAGGAAAAAAAAAAAAAAAGAAAGGCAAATTTCATGCAGTATTGTTTCATTTTTTCCCCCTCATAAACATATTTAAATGTATCACAGGATCTGTAACTATCAAAACTGCCCACAGCATCAAATTAGTAGTTCTAATCCAGATGTGGAGGATGAAAGGGATCATGGCTAACTAGTGAAAGAGCACTGATAGCCAAATGAAGGGCTAGAGCCTTGAAGTAAAAAGAAGAAAAGGATCATCAAGAGAGAAGTTAGGATGGACTAGACTTCTGGTTATTTCAGAAATGGGTAGCAAAACACAAAGGCTTTTAATTTTAAGCTCCCAGAATTAGATGACAACCTCAGCAATCCATCTCCTTAGTAAAGCCAGAACTAAGATGGGAAAAAAGGACTATTTTTAAATGAACAAGCCAAATTTATGCTTAGGGCTGTATTAGTTTAATGGAAGAACAGTCATTTCAAAATTAGTAAAACAAAAGTTTCGTATGAAAAAACATAGCATAATTCTGAATGATTTTCATACAATCATTATCAAGCATAAGTGATACTGGACACCTGAAGCTGACATGAGGGAAAAAGGCTCAGGGAGATTTCACAACTTTGTACAGCAGTGGCTTGAAAGGATATAACTATATTTACCATAACACAACAAGTGGTCATTTTTACCTTACATAATTTATAAGAATTTTTAGAAAAATAGAAATAACTCACATGTAATTCAGCTACACCAAACTTTTCTGCCTTCCTACTAACAGGAACTAGAAAAGCAAAATGCTGATTTTTTCCAGGTACCCCGAAAATACCTTTATAATTTTAGCCATAATTTGTTTAGTCTAAAAAGGTACTGCTCCAATACCAGAGCTACAGGTGAAAAACATCTCTCTCAACTGAAGACAACTTCTTGAATAACACTGTCACTGACAAGTTTACTCTCTGAGCTTCAGTTTCCAAACTGAGAAGGAGGAATAACTGCCCTGCCTATCCCCAGACTTCTGGTTGCTGAAATAATCTCAATCAATTTCTTTTTTCTTTCTTTCTTTTTTTTTCTACAAACTACATGCAAATTTAATTTTTCCAGTTTATAAAGTAAAAGGGGTCCAATAAAACACTATCGTGTCCTACCTCACAGGTTACTGTAGGTATTGTTTTCAAAATGTGAACAATACTACAGACTGAAGGTGAAAAAAAAAAAAAAAAAAACTAGTTGAAAATAGAATTAGCTTTTAAGGGCATGGCTAAGGCAAAATTAGAAGTATATATATAAGGCTGGGTGTGATGGCCCACACATGTAATCCCAGCACTTTGGGAGGCTGAGGCAGGAGGACCACTTGAGCCCAGGAGTTTGAGACCAGCCTAGGCAATATAGCAAGATCCCATGCTTACAGAAAATTAAAAAGAAAAACAGTCAAGCATGGTGACACATGCCTGTGGTCCCAGCTACTCGGGAGGCTGAGACGGGAGGATTGCTTGAGCCCAGGAGGTCGAGGCTGCAGTAAGCTATGTTTGTGCCACTGCACTCCAGCCTGGGTGACAGAGAACCCCATCTCAAAAAAATAAACAAATAAAAAAGAAAAGAAATACATATAGGAATGAGAATTAGAAGTCTCAAGTATAGAGCCACCCACCATGCCTACCCTAAAGCAAACCTGCCCCACCAATTCAAAATGCCCAGAGAGATGTCCATGTTCATGATCTTATATGGACATATATGAGACTTATGAGATATTCATTGCAGCTTTATTTGCAATAGTCAAGCTGTAAGAACAAGTTAAATGTCCACTAACAGAAAAAGGGATAAAGTAAATGTGGTATATGTAGAAAATGGAATATTATTCAGCCTTAAAAAGGAAACCTTGCCATATGCAAAAACATGGATGAACCTTGATGACTATGCTACGTGAAATAAACCAGTCACAGAAAGACAAATAATGCATGATTCCACTTGTGTCAGGTAATTAAAATAGTCAACCCCACAGAAAGAGTGTAGAATTGTGGATGCCAGGGGCCACAAAGATAGGGAAATGGGAAGCTGCTATTCAAGGGGTATACAGCTTCAGTTATAAAGAGCGAAACGTTCCAGAGATCTGCTGCACATCCTCATGCCTATAGTTAGCAATACTGTATTGTACACTTAAAAAATTATTAAGAGGGTAGATCTCATGTTAGATGTTCAGACTATAATAAAAAAAGAAAAAGATACTGATGCACAAGAATAACTAATCTTTCTTCCCTCCCTTACCAAAAAGATTCCCCACAGAAGGCAGAAAACTAATCCATTATTAAAGTGAAGAGAGTTATTTGTGTCAGAACCCTAAGCTAAACTTTTCTATGTATTTCATGCATTTTCTCATAGAAAGAGTGTTATACATAGTGTTTAGTGTAGAAGTGTTAACGATTAGCCTCTAAAGTTAACTATCATTTACACTATAATTTCTACAGGGAAATGCAATATGATTTCCAAACAACCAATCAGTAAAACTTCCAAGAACACATCTCATTAAGAATGGTCTTGTACGCCAAAGGAATGGCAGGAAGCTTAAATCAAGGATGCAATCATTCCTGTGCAAATCATTCCCGTTAACTATGGGAAAAAAAGGTACATAACAGTAAAAGTAAGCAAATTATACAAAACATACCTTATTCCAGAGAGACTATCAAAGGCATGAAGATCTAATACATTAGAGAGATCAACTCTAAAAGGAAGAAAACTAACATGAGCAGTTGGAAATTCTGTGAAAATACATCCAATTAATCAAGAAAAAAAATCTTTGACTCTTAAAAAATTTTATACATAAAATTCATAGAAGTGAGCAAATGGTATAAGATTTGAATCACAGTTGAATCAAGATTGAAAATTATTTGGTTATTACTTCAATGAATTAGCTTTTTTTTTTTAACTTTCAATTATCTTTTCAATCCTGAAATTTATGAGCTTTCCAAATACATTTTTATAGCTAAAAAAAAATCAGCTAAAGAACAGAAACTTTTCCAAGCAGTTTATTACTCAAAAGATGAAACAAAAGAAATGACAAATAGAATTAACAAATAGGTACATTCCAAATACCTCTGCAATTTTTGTATTTCTTTTATTCCCCCTCCCCTGATATAACATGTAATATAAAAACGAGAAGTCAAATAACCAATGTACAAAATATTAAGTTACTCTAGGACCCTGATCTTCACATGATTTGATTTCATTCATTCAGAATGGGGCTGCATGTAGAAAGAAAATTCCCGCCATCCGAATAGACATTATTTCTCTTAGAATTATTTAATGATAATTAAACTTATTTAATTGAATCCAATGATTCAAATCAGGTGAGAATAACATCACAATTAACATTAGGTTCGGTTTAAATACAAAAAAGCAAATTTATAAAGACTGGTGATTGAGTTATAATTTTAACATAAGCTCAGAAAACAGCAGAGGACAGGCCGGGCACGGTGGCTCATGCCTGTAATCCCAGCACCGCGGGAGGCTGAGACAGGTGGATCACAACGTCAAGAGCTCAAGACCATCCTGGCCATGGCCAACGTGGTGAAACCGTGTCTCTACCAAAAACACGAAAATTAGCTGGGTGTGGTGGCATGTGCCTATAGTCCCAGCTACTCGGGAGGCTGAGGCAGGAGAATCACTTGAACCCCGGAGGTGGAGGTTGTAGTGAGCCAAGATTGCACCACTGCACTCCAGCCTGGCACAGAAAAAAAAAAAAAAATACAGCAGAGGATAGTGATTTCTCCATAATCAAAGTTAAGGTGAAGAAATGTTTAAAGAAAATGACAAATGTATAATTTCAAATTTAGATTCCAGAAGCTTACCAAACATTTGTTAAATTTTCTTACAAGGAAAAAAAAAATCATTGGTCAGATTCAAGATTTTTTTTTTTTAATGCACAAACATATAAGAAAAAACATCTCCTTTATCTTAGGACTGACCAACTGTGCCTGCTTTGTTTATTCTCAACAGTCTATCACATACTCATACTCGTGGCAACAATACCGTGTTAGATTATGAATGCTTGTCTTGGCAAAAGGCAGACAAATTCCCATCTTATTACTCCAAAGTTCTATGTTAATAGACTATAACAACAACTCAAATTCTGGGCATTTCAGATGTACAGAATTAGAAAAATGATCAAGCAAAGAAGCAAATGTTCTATGAAGAAATTTTTGAATATCAGTTTACACTAAGAGGCCAAAGTCTTAATATTAAACATATTTCCTTTTCACTCCCCACCCCTCCCCCCACTACTGAGCATATTTATATTGACAGGTCACAAATGAGGGGCACAGTGGCTCATGCCTGTAATCCCAGCACTTTGGGAGGCCAAGGTGGGCAGATCACTTTGAGGCCAGGAGTTTGACACCAGCCTGGCCAATGTGGCGAAATCCCGTCTCTACTAAAAATAGAAAAATTAGCTGGGTGTGGTGGCGCACACCTGTAATCCCAGCTACAGGGAGGGTGAAGCAGGAGAATTGCTTGAACCCAGGAGGCAGAGGTTTCAGTGAGCCGAGATCGCACTACCACACTCCATCTTGGGGGACAGAGTGAGATTCTGTCTCACACCAGAATGAGATTCTGTCTCAAAAAGATAAAAAAATAAAAATAAACCAAACTAATGGAGTTTCCCTCCAAGTTTGTCATCTTCATCTTAAGAAACAGCTTAAAGTTTAATAAAGTTTACACATGCCAATTTTGTGAATATCAAATTCAACAATTTGGAAACACAAGCTTCTAAATAAATTGTTTCACTGTGACAGTGTCCTTGAGAATACATGTCATCCAGAGGTAATTCTGCTTTATACTCAGATTCTTTCCATACTTCCAAAAAAAGGATCAATATTAGATCTGTACAACAAATTACACTCTTTTACAGAAAATAATAAAATATCCAAGTCTCTCACCAAATTTTCAATAAAGAAGAAAAGTGTAAGCTTCCAGATGAAAGTTTCTATAGCTTTCCCCAAATTTAGTACCACCATGAAAAAGAAATTCTTCACTCATTCAAGGCATATGACTAGAAAACTAATTTCCATGGCATCAAATTAATTTCCTCCTTTGGAGATAAAACCATCAGATCTTTTCCAAAGCACTAAAATAGCCACACACACACACACACAAAAAAACAAAAAACAAAAAACCATTACCAGCATTTTAAAACTGAGTAAGAGAACGAAGTAAACAAAAAAGGGAAAGAAAAAGCTTCAAAAGTTCATTTTTCCCCTAATTTCTTGAACTCTCTATTCCAGAAGTACCTAATGTTTTTCCTAAAGGAGATGCTTTTAATTTTCCCTATGTCTAAAAGCTGCTTAAGTAGCTTAAGACCAAGGACAGGAGAGTGAAAACAAAGAGTGTTTTGGCTCTCCAAGGTGGGGCTGGAATTGCAGCTACTACTTAGGGATATTTTCCAGTGATCATCTCTTCAAACTCCAGTGAGTCTCACAAACAGGGTGCACCAGCCAATCCAAGTATCCAGTATCTACAATGCAAATTGTAGATACTATCCAAACTGACAGTAGATAGCTCAGTAAATAGCTGAGCAAACTGCAATGATAGCTCAGTCTTGAACTCTAGAAATAAATTTCCAAATGCCTTCCCCAGTGGCACTTCGAACTCAAAAATGTTTACAAAACTAATCACATTTTCCAAACCTACTTCCACCACTACCCGACCTATTGCTCCTCTTTCCTGTATTTCCTATACCTCAGAGATTAGCCCCACATTGAATCTACCTCCCTAGAGTCATATTGCTTTTAAAACCCTTCACTAACTCCTTGCTTCCTACAGAAGAAAATCCAAACTATGTAGCATGGCATTCGAGGCCCTTTGTGGTAAGTTCTCTATCTCTTCAGTCATACCACTTTTTCTGTGCTACATAATACCAAGTTCTCTAGCCATTCTAAAATATTCAAAGGTCCCTGGAATACAAAATCTTCCTTATACCTGGAAAGTTGTCCCTACCCTAGTCCATCTGTAAAAGCCTTACTCATTACTTAAGACTTAGGTCAATGACTGCCTTCTCGGTCAATATTTTCCTGACTCTTTTTCAAGAAAAGTTGAGTAACCATTCCCTCTATTTTCCTATTATTATAGAACTCTGTGCTTTTAAAATTCTTGTATTTATATTAATATCTAATATGTTGCCTTTTTGTTTGTTTGCTTCTCTGTTTCCCCCCAATGACTGATCTCCTTAAAAGCAGTTTTTGCCTTATCCGTTGCTTAAATAGTCCTTAAAAAGCTATGAAATGCATAGCAGGCAGTTTGTCAAATTAATTTAACTTATTATTGACCAACTGTGTTTTGGTTTTCCTCTGTTCAGTCCACTTACATTTCTAAAAATTAGGAAAAAGTCTAGAGAAGATTAAAATGACACATCTTCTCATCTTTTACTCCTACATCTGAAATCTGTGTGGTTCACTAGTACTTCCATTTGCTAGTAAATCAACTTAAGTCTTACCAATAAGACGATGCTACACACTATTTCTTTTTCTTACTCTTAACTACTCAAGGTGAGCCTTTTTCTACACATGCTTATAGCAGTTTATTGTCAGTACTTGTCAGCTACACAATGGTAAAATTTTTTAAAAAACAATAAAACAAAACTTCTGTAAGAGTGACTTTGACTATTTTGTTAACCAAATCTCCAGTTTTTTTTTTTGTTTGTTTGTTTGTTTGAGACAGAGTCTCGCTCTGTCGCCCAGGCTGGAGTGCAGTGGTGCGATCTCAGCTCACTGCAAGCTCCGCCTCCCAGGTTCATGCCATTCTCCTGCCTCAGCCTCCCGAGTAGCTGGGACTACAGGCACCTGCCACCAGGCCCGGCTAATTTTTTTGTATTTTTAGTAGAGACGGGGTTTCACCATGTTAGCCAGGATGGTCTCAAACTCCTGACCTCAGGAGATCCACCCGCCTCGGCCTCCCAAAGTGCTGGGATTACAGGCTGAGCCACCACACCCAACCCAAATCTCCAATTTCTAAACTGGTAAGCTCAAGTTGCTATGCCTCAAGGAATTTGAGAGAATATTTAATGTAAGATTCAGGACCCAATAATAAAAATTCTACTCAGGACATCTGATCTTCATTGAAAAGGATTCTAATCCAACTTCAGTCCTCATAGCAAGGAAGTACTATTTCAGAAAGTCCCTAGATTCTCAGATGCATTGGCAACCTCCATACACTGAAGAAGAATTCACAGAAGATTTTAGTCACTTGCTCACTCATCCACTTGAAGTAACAAAAATCAATCACTGCATGTTTACTGTTCTATAATAAAGCAAATGTTAGAAATAAAAGTTAGAAATGTCAAACAAACTAAATTGTTACATAATAAACTAATCAAGATGAAACTTTTATTCAGGACATGGATATTTCCAAAATGAAAACAAGAGAAGAGACTTGACTGAAAATGTTTATAAATACGAATATTAAGACAGAACCAAAGCTATTTATGACCATTATTTTTAAAAGCTTGTTTAAGTATCATGCACTTGTCTGTGTGACATTTTGTAAAGAGGAGAAAAATTAAGGAGAAAGGAATTGTAGAACACTAACAGGAAGAAGACAGATACTGAGGAATGGCTCATAGTATAAATGAGATTATCAGAGACTTTCTACAGTGGAATTTGAAATGCGGGGAGCACATTTGGTGTATGGTTGTAGAGGACTTACACTAAGAGCATTCTTCTGCTACCTCTGCCAGCAGATGAGTGGCTCCTGAGAATGCATACCAAATTCCCCAGCTGTTCACATGCATATAAGCAGCTGCTGCTGCTGCTGCCTAACACTTATGGCAGTCTGTCAGCACCTCTAATCTCTGCCATAGCAGACAAGCCACTCACCTAAGGCCTCTACTGTACTTCCAAAGAAAGAATCTCTCAAGTAGAGACTGAGCTGAACTAGACTGCCAGCTGTGAGTCTCAGAGCTCCTGGCTGCCTGTTGCTGAGTCTATCAGCTGCTGAGCCTTTCTCACCAAAAAAAAAAAAAAAAAAAAATGAGTTTAACAAAAAAAAACCCTGCACAGAAATTTTCTGAAATTAAGATAACATTCAATGGAAAACAGAGTTTAATCTACAGAAACACACTTCACAGATGTTTTAGGAACAGAACCTAGAGAAAATGAAAATCAAAATTTAATAAAAGAATTTGTCAGGAACTTCACGGTAAGGACTCCATGTATTTTTTGGCAACTATGAAACGCTAAGAAGGCTTTTAAAATATTAAAAAGCCATTTAAAGACTTCAAATTAAGAGAAGATTCCTCAATATACTTCTTCAGATTTCTGTACTGAGTCATCCCCTTGAGTGTTTAGAAGTCTTTTCTTCCTCCTTAAGCAAACACTTACATAGTGTTATCATGGCTTTGTAATCTTAGTTTTAAAGACAGGCAAACGTACTAGCTAAATATGCCAAACTAACTTATTAAGAGCATTCCAAACAACATTTTGGATCCAATTCTTTTTAAATGCACTTACATCTTTCTTATATTAGAATCAAGCGTATTTGTCAATTACTTAATGTTTATTATTAATAACTAAAATGATTTGTTGTTAGTATATTAGGAATAGCTTTTTAAAAGTACCTTGATCTTTGTGTTTCTAAGATTTGTCCTAGTCCATTTATGGATCTGAAATAAATAATAGATGAGGAAGACAAAGTTTAAAAGTAAAAATTAACTTTTTAAAAAAGTATACAAAGTACATTATTTCTAAAACAGGAAATAAGCATACACAAATACATCTGGAACCAAAAAAAAATTAAAAACAGAAAAACAAAACTTGCTTTAAAATATAATTATGATTTTCCTTCAAACCATAAATCACATATATTCCACTCACACATCAATAAAACATATATACAAAACTTCACACAACTGTTAGATTAAGGGCTACTTTGTGATTAATAAAAAGATGCTTCACTTTAGAAAAAGTCATTCATAAGTAGTCAGTTATCCTAATGTTCTTAAAAATGAGTAGATACTCAAAATTTTTACGGTGGTCACTTTTTTCCTCAGGCATACATAGTAGAAATGGCTATATACACACTAAAAATAAAAACCTGGTTGTAAATGGCTTTGCCCCCAGCCTGTCCTTAGTATTCACAGTAATTCTAAGTCACACATCCCAGGTTCCTTTATAGAATAACCTCTTCAGTTCCCTAACTAGGTTCTCTACCTGTTATGCCTGTTCTCCCTCTTTTGATACTATAGAATATGGCTTTGTATGGCACCAAAAAGTACCTGTTAAAATCTTTTCAACATACTGTATATCTCATCTATTTATCTTTTCCATCGTCTATCATCAATCATCAATTCTCTATCATGAATTCAATTGTCTTTAGGGTTACTTACCCAAGATTCTTGCTACTTGTTCAAGTTTGTTCTCATGAGTAAGGCTTCCCACATATAATGATTCTGAGGCAAGTCTCTCCACTACTTTACAAAATTCTTAATCTTCTTTTTTGAATATACTCTATAGTCTGATGGCTATTCCCTCTCAAACATGTTTACCTTTGTTTAACTCCCCAAATATGATTCTGAGTCAGTCACAAGTCTGATATAAAGGGAGGGTAAAAGCCAAAAGGGTGTGTAATTTATCAAATTGCTTCTTCCAGATTCATTTCTAGTACTGTTAACAAGCTGGGTAATAGTCAATATTGTCAGTGTCAGAGATTTAGCTTAGGTCTCTATAAGGATATAAAAGCCACGTAATAATTATCATTCCTTTTATGCCAAAAACGTTTGCTAAATAGATTGTGTTCTTCTTAGCAATCACAATGGTGCACAAGATTTTTGAAGAGAAACAAGATTAGAAGACCAGTGTCAAAAAATGTAAAAGCAATCTTCATTCATCACTTTTACCTTTTCAAAATCAGCCATCTTTTTCTTTTTTCCCTTTTTTACTATACCTTGAACTTACTATGTAAGCTAAGAAAAAAATTACATAATAATAGCTAACAGAGCACTTACTATGTGTCAGCACTGTGCAAAGTTTACCAACATTGTCTCATGTAATACTCAAAACAAACTTATGATAGGCATTATGTCTTTTACAGAGGAGGCTTTCAAAGGGTAAATAAGCTCCCTAAGACAATGAGAAACAGACCAAGGATTAGAACTCAAGCAGATTCCAAGGTCCGTGTGATCTTCAACACGATGCAACAATACCTACCCTTCACATGGAGACATTATATTTTGTTTATAGTAAAGTTTAAGGACTTTACTATTAAAATAAGATGAAATATGTGGAAAAAATATGAATTTCTTTCTTCCACAATCATTAATCATTGCAAATAATCTAATGAGCCTTACCTTTATTGATTCAATTTATAATATGTACTATATGAACTGAGATGACAGATTCAAAATCTGATGTCAGTAGAACTTACAAATACTAAGAATAGTAATTTTGAGCCATCACACTCAAAGCATTGTACACATTAAAGATAACCAATAATAATAGCTACCAAATGTCTCTCTGTATAGGGCTTTTGTTAGTTCAGGTCTTACAAAATAATTCAAAACAAAGTGCCTGAACTATAACCTCATTTGAAAAATCTATCTTTGTTTTCAAAAGGAATGGGAGTCTCCAGAACAGTCAGCAAAATGACTGTTAGAACATATTTGAGCATCATTCATATTTTCCTGATTGTCCTATGCTGATCTGCCTTGGCTACGGACAAAGAAGATATTAAAGCAAGCTGGGGCCAGGCGCGGTGGCTCACGCCTGTAATCCCAGCACTTTGGGAGGCCGAGACGGGCAGATTACGAGGTCAGGAAATCGAGACCATCCTGGCTAACATGGTGAAACCCCGTCTCTACTAAAATACAAAAAAAACGAGCCAGGCGTGGTGGCGGGCGCCTGTGGTCCCAGCTACTCGGGAGGCTGAGGCAGGAGAATGGCGTAAACCCGGAAGGCGGAGCTTGCAGTGAGCTGAGATCGTGCCACTGCACTCCAGCCTGGGCGACAGAGCGAGACTCCGTCTCAAAAAAAAAAAAAAAAAACCAAGCTGGAAGACAAGGCATGGTTGACAGTTAAGGAAGATGAAGTCAGTGAGAGTTCAGGGAAAAGTGAGACCACTTGAGTCAGGGAAGACTTCACATAGGCGTGGGGGAGAGACAGAATAGGCTCTATAGAATAAATTATTTAAAAAAAAAAAAAAGAAAGAATTCAGAGATTGGCAGAGTGAGAATACATTATGAGTAAAGATAGGAACTGGCAGGATGCATCCATGGGAAAGTGAATTAACTATCCTGGGTAAAGTTAGGGAAGACTGACATTAGGAAAGAGTCAAAGAGAAGACAGGAGAAGGATGGAGTGAGAAGACCCTGAATATCAGTCTATTAACTGTAAACTATATTCTGCAAGCACTGGGGACTAATTTTATGCATTACTATTTATATAACAATTAGCCATCAACAACATATGTGATTCCCTAATGGTTCTTGAAGCAGGTCAACCTTGTACCTTAAGTTTCTACAGGGCAATAATCAGAGTAAAAAATATTCTGTGTATACAATATGGATCTGTAGGCACTTAACACACTTATCATTTTGTACCTAATTGTCATTCTTAATTTCTTTACATCTTCTTCTGGAACCAAGTCTGTTTTATTGATGAGAATGATATCTGCCAAAGCAACTTGCCTAAAATAGCAAACAAAAAGAAATATTAAGAAATTTAAAATAATATACACACATGCAGATTAATACATCAAAAGAGAAATGTTAACAAATTAAAAATAAATAAGAACACCTCATGTAGATCAATATATCAGTTAAGAATTATATAGTGCTCTATAGGAGTGATTCAGTTTACTCCTAATCCGCTGATTTTTCAATGGGAATGAATTGCATTCATTACTATACAAGTTCAGATTTCACATTACCCATTCGCAAAGTATTTACTAAGTTCTCTTACTTGCTACTCTTGTGCTAGAAAGATAAGTCTCAAAAAGTTTACAATCAAAAGGATGATTTTAAACTCATAATTTTCTTTGTGAAGAAAAGCATAAAATTCAGATATCCAATATGGTGAAAATAAGAAGAGTTTACATACTAAAATACTGTAATATTTACCAAAATTTTCAAAGACATAGAATAAGTTCACTTAATACTAAAAACTGTATTAAACAGATTTTTTGAAACCTATACTTCAGAGCTGGGCACGGCAGACCATACCTATAGTCCCGGCTACTTAGGAGGCTCAGGAAGGAGGATCCCTTAAGCCCAGGAGTTCAAGTCCAACCTGGGCAACATAGCAAGACTCCATTTCTTAAAAAAAATAAGCTATACTTCACAAGATCTATCAGGATATTGCAAAAATTTCTTCTTTATCACTATAAATATACTGTATATTATCTCTGTAAAGAATCCAGTCGACTGAATGCTAGATAACAAAGTAGATGATAATAATCAGAAGCTCTATTTTCTCTTAACAGGATAGTAAAACTGGAAATTCTTTCAATTTTCCTTAATTTTTCAGGGTCTTATGCTTTATCTCAAAGAATACAACTAAATTCTCAAAACTAAATTAACTTTAGTTCACTGAAAAAGCAGGTTTCAATAGTATGTACATCACAAATCTAATTTTGCTATTTTCTATTTGGCTTATTTATATTTTCTATAATAACCATATTTTCATAAGGAAAAAAGTTACAAAAATACTTAAGTTAGGCCGGGTGCAGGGGATTCATGCCTGTAATCTCAGCACTTTGGGAGGTGGAGGTGGGTGGATCACCTGAGGTCAGGAGTTCAAGACCAGCCTGGCCAACATGGTGAAACCTCATCTCTACCAAAAAAAAAAAGAAAAAGAAAAAAAAAAAAAATACAAAAATTAGCTGGGCATGGTGGCAGGTGCCTGTAATCCCAGCTACTTGGGAGGCTGAGGCAAGAGAATCGCTTGAACCTGGGAGGCAGAGGTTGCAGTGAGCCAAGATCTGCTGTACTTCAGCCTGGGTGACAGAGTGAGATTCTGTCTCAAAAATAATAATTATTATTATATATAATTTTTTAAATTATATATATATTATTATATATAATTATATATATATAAATCTTCAATCCCAAAGAAATTGTATAATAAAAATATATTTTTAAATGTTAATATTTCCCGAGTTCCTCAAAATTACAGAACTCCTGTGTTCAGCATTCACTTTATGCTACGACAAAAATGATTTTAAGTAAAAGTTTAGTTATCAGATCATTATAAATAGATAGCAATAATTCAACTATGGGAAAAAAGAAAATAAATTTTCCTTGACTATGTTTTAAAATTTCTTAGTTTGTTTTTGGTTTTCATCCTAGTGATTTTTCTCTTTACAATTAGCCAGTGATCAATATATACTTTAAATATTAATACCTAGTGGCTTCATTGATAAGGCCATCGTGTTTCTCTTCTGTTAAATGCTAAACAAAAAAAAGTTTGAATAAAGTTACTACAATACAATAAAAAATCTAATGTCAACACAAAGGATTTTACTTTATAGACATCTTCTTGCATCTAATAAAAATTCAACATGTTCTGTTACTGGGTACACAAATTCAAAACTAACTTTTCTAGCTGAAAGCATTTGTCTTCCCCATTTGCAATTTTTTTTCTACAAGTGAACCTGTAGGGTTTTATAGGCGGAAGAAGAGGGTTTAGGATTTCATACTCCTGACTTTTTCTTTTACTTAAAAGGAAAACCCCTTTGATTCACATAATGTCATAAAAACACAGAAGATTACAGTTCAGATTTTAGGTATTTTCCTTCTTACAAAACTGTTCTTGTTCTAAATATTCATTATTACTTATTTAAAAAAAAAAAAAGGATAACCACTGAAATACAGTTTCTTAGAATCTAATATACTTCCCTTCTCCCCAGCCCACAATCGTGTATCACGTGAACTCAGTACCAGGCCTTTCAAACACCCTAGAAACAAATAAGTGGTGGGAGGGCTGATTCAGCTCTGATTCTAGCCTAAAAGCAGTTTATCCTTTAGAAACCCATACTTGCTAATCTGGCCTCTCAGTGCAACTAGTTATTTTACTGACCTCTCCAGAGTCAGGCTAACTCCAAAAAATATTTTGACACGGACTTAGAGCCCATGTGGTAGTTTTCATCTCTCTGGAGGCAAGGTTTTTTGTGTTTCTTTTTTTTCCCCCATCATAATCCTGTTTACATCCCTAAAGTCATCAACGTCACAAGCTTCTTCTCTGGGAAATTACATTTTTACCCTCATTACCTCAAACCTCAATAGAGGTTCCCTGTCACAATAAAAAGCTGGCTACTGAAGTTTAGAGGCAACTAGATTATAGTAATACTCTATATTTGAAGCCAACTTTACAAATTAATTAAATCCTTGAATTTAACTTTATAAATTATATATATTTCTCATTTAGCTTTCATAACAATTATGAGAGAAGGATATTTTCATTTATAAAGGAAGAAACTAAATCTAACACCCTCATCATCACAGGATACTATATTTTATATACAATCACATGGACTATATTTTTTTAATTGAACACACACCCATCAAGTAAAATGAACATAATTTTAAAGTCTTTGTGAAAACTTTCATGTCACATAAAATCAGTCTGTGTACAATGCTACACAAAAGTTAATAATCATATATCAGAGCCAAGCCCGTTTCATAATTCATGGGGAGATGATCATTAGGAGTATCTGAATAGTTTGGAACCTAAGAGCAAGCAGGTAATAATTTTATTTAACAAGCTTGATTAGGTCTATAGAAGAAACATCTTTTCCTTCTAAAAGTTTAGCAAATTCTATTTTGAGGAAAACAAAACTGAAATAAAATCATGGCAATGATGCTTCAGGCAAAATCTTGTTCAACTGCAGACCCACTCTGCAATTACGGAAGTCACAGAACTTGGCAAGTATTGTATCAAAAATCATTCCATGCCAAAAGACCAAGTTTAATATTTTTTTCATAATTCATCTTGGCCTGAGGCTACAACAAGTCCTATTGTTATATACTCTGCCTCCAGATAGTAAGGCTGTTAACAGACCTTGGAATGGTGCCTGGCACACAGACTCAACAAATATTTGTTGAATGAATTATAGTTAACACCTCCTGTTGTGGGGATACACAAAAGATGTTACATGAAAAATGCCATCTAACATGCAGCAACAAATCTCTAACCATTTAACAGTAAATCTACTTAACAGATATATTTTTGGCAAGGCATCAGCCTCTGAATGATCCTATAGTACTGAAAGTCTTTTTAAACTGAAATATTTTTCAAGATATTATATTATTGACCTTATGGAAGTTTTTTTAACATATGAAATTGGGGCTATTTGGCTATGAATTTGTGGGGCATAAAAATGATATGACAAAAGAATTACAGATTCGTTTTTGCATTTCCATGCCTAAATGTAACTAATAAAATGGTAGTTTCACATGGTAATGTACAATGTTTTAAATGCATTTACCTCTCCAAAATATTAGAATTCTTCACTCAAAGCTAACAGTGGTAGACTAACGTTTTACTGCCTCCAGGCAGTCAGGAAGTATCAAATACAAAAATAAACGAAAATCACCCCAAATGAAAGCCTGCCAATATTTACAACTCTATTAAAATTCTATACAACTATACAGAATCATATACAACTATAGCAGAAGGGATAAATGTTCTCTTCTACACACACAGGAAAACTATACAAACATTTAAAAAAATAAGTGCATACTAACATTTATTTTCTTTAGACATCAGCCCTGCATTTCCCTCATGTGACTTCCTACCTTCCCAAGTCAAACTCTGCAAAAAAGTATAAAACCAATGTCTTCTATTCAAAAGAACATTCTCCAATAATACATTATATACCATGTGGTCATTAAGTCAGATGACTTTCATTTATAAAATAAAGCAAAATGGAAATTTTGGCATTCTGTTCTACTTGTATAAGTAAATGCAGAAAAAATTTTTGCAAAATCTTTTAAAAATATTTTATATTACATAGATGTCCAAATTCTTCCTTATCTCTGTTTAAGAACTATAGCTTTTGCTTATATATCAAAAAAGACAAAAATAATTTTGGTACTAATTAATCCAACATATTCAAAAGGCTAAGGTTCAAAACCCCAATTTAACTTACCACAAGAAACACAGGAAATTAAAGGGGAGTGGTGTGACATGTTGGTCAAAGAGTACTAAGTTTGTTATGCAGGATGCATAAGTCATGGAGAGCTAATTACAGCATGATGACAGTAGTTAATTCTATTGTATACTTGAAATCTGCTAAGAGATAGATCTTAATTGTTCTTACCACCCCCTCCCCCGAAAAAAACAATGTGAAGTGATGGATATGTTAACTAGTTCGATTGTTTTATAATGTAATTCACACATTGTATACCTTAAATATATATAATTTTTACTTGTCAATTATACCTCAATAAAGCTGGGGGGGGTTAGGGAGAGAAACAAAGGAACTCTCTGAAATAACACCACTGTAGACATAACTTCATGAAGGGCTACAGAGTGTCCTTTTCTGCAGAAATAAAGAAAGAAGCTGGACCGAAAAAAGAGAAAGAAAGAAAAGAAAAAACTTATCTTAAAATTCACTGGCTATGAAAGAACACTACTGTTGACCAGAGTGGAAATAAATCTAGTGTCAAAGATGTCTGGTGTCATTTTTAAAACGCAGCAGCCGGAAGGAACTATTTCTTTCAAATGGATTGGTTACAGACCTAACACTATTTTAGTTTTTAAAAAATTATTGCATAATGTCAGTCTGTTTATTGTTCTGGCCTTTTCCAAGCCAACTGTTTTCTGACTGAATTGTTTCAACAGATTGTGCAATATAACAGAGGAACCAAGAAGAAACCTCTCACTTGACCTTTTCTGGGTAACTTCATTCATTGCTTCTATTGCATTAAATGCTGTCACATTTGTAGAACTGAAAAGAACAATGTCAGTAGCCTGGGTGTCAAGTCCTGAGAATAGAGAGCTGTCATTTTAAGTTGTCCAATTCTTTGCCTATGATTAAAAAATGAATATTTCAGATCAATGGGTGACAATCCCATTAGAGTGATACCCCATGATATCAATTACCACTTCAGTTTCAATTTGGCTGGCCAGCCACAGGGTACCATTTCTCAGCTTTACTTGTGATGGGCTGGCTCTGTGAAGCATGACATTCTTAAATTGCTGCCCATTATCCAAGTGTCATTACTTGTACTGCCTCAGAATTCTCTGAATCACAAGCAGCTACTGAGGTCAAGCTTTGCAACCAGAGGAATTGGACAAGTTGGAAAATTCTTTACATCAAGGCAAAGTTATTTATCTGGCATCCGACTTAGAAAATCTAAAGTTTCCATTATCCTGACAGTGTGTCAGTTTTGTGTAGGTATATTGATTTAATAATTTAAGAGGTTTTATCAAGGTGGCAGGAGGTTAAACGTTTACTGTGTTTGCATTATTCAGAATGTTGCTTTGTTTTTTTGGCCTCTATCATGCTGATAATAGATTCTATTTAACTCTTTTCCATACTCAACTATACACACAAAATTATTCCTATAATCATAAAATACATAAACAGTTTGACTTTCAGCATGGCATTCTAAGTCTATAAAAAAATGTCTTAGCAGTTATCTGTCACATAGGTATATCATATTTTGTAATAAATTTATGGAAGAGATAGATTCAAACATGTCTATAATAAACACTCAAACTGAATAATTTGGGGGTTTTTGCTACCTCCATAAGCATTTTGCAAGAAATATGATTTCCAACAGTCATTGGAATTTTTCTGAGTGAAACTGTAATACTGTATTTGGGATCATTCTTTGATTCTTACATTATATTCATAAATTCATAAATTGAGATTTTAAACTCTAAAAAAGTTGTCTTCCAAGCTTTTCAAATTAGGGCACTCTATCAATGAGGGAGAGAAGGCCCAGTGAAGAGGTATTGGTAACTATTTGACAAACCTGACATATCCCCTGAGAGCATAATTTCAGCAAAGATTTGGGGAAAGAAAGCAAACTTAAACATTAACAAGTTCAGGCCAGGCGCAGTGGCTCACGCCTGTAATCCCAGCACTTTGGGAGGCTGAGGCAGGTGGATCACTTGAGGTCAGGAGTTCATGACCAGGCTGGTCAACATGGTAAAATCCCGTCTGTACTAAAAATACAAAATTAGCTGGATGTGATGACGTGCACCTGTAAACCCAGTTACTCAGGAGGCTGAAACAAGGGAATCGCTTGAACCTGGCAGGTGGAAGTTGCAGTGAGCCAAGATTGTGCCACTGCGCTCCAGCCTGGGCAACAGAGTGAGACTCTGTATCAAAAAAAAAAAAAAAATTAACACATTCAGATACATTATGAGGTTGGATACAAAACAGACACAAATTTTTAAACACTGAATTTAAACTTCTAAGAAATTACTGCTTTGGGCCCTATCCATATGCTCAGATTGGGACCAAATCAGTGGGTGGGATAATTTCATTCTCTTCTGCCTTAAGTGGTATTTCACTCAGGGAGTTGAGAAATATCATTTTACTGTATGTAACAACATACTTTTAAAGATCTTACTAAATGCATTTTATAAATTAAACTTCATTTAAATGCATTTAAGGACCTTAGAAGTTAACAAAAACATTCATAGCAGGATATCTTTTACACTTGATCTTAGCCAAAAGACCAAGAAGCGATGCAAGATGCCTTTTAATGGACAGAGTCTTCTTACTAGTCCTACGTATATATCCTAATTTTCTTCAATATGTAGTTTTTAAATTTTAAGTTCCAGGGTACATGTTCAGGATATGCAGGTTTGTTACATACGTAAACGTGTGCCATGGTGGTTCGCTGCACCTATTAACCCATCACCTAGGTCTTCAATCTTTTTAAAAAACTCATTTCCTGTGTGTGTTTAATAGCAATTTAACAAGAAAAATAAGATCTCAGATGCTTTATCAATCTCAGTCTCTTCTATGGAACAGAAAAACTTATCAATATTGGGGTTGAATCCTTGTGAAGAGTTATATATACTAAACTCTATCCTAACCCCATATGCTTATTACAAATTATAATTCCAAATTTTATCACCAAATCAAACTCAGATTAATAGACAAGAAATATTTAACACAAACTAGTAATTAAAACACAAATTTCACCTATTGTTCAGGGTATATTTTTGAAGAAGGTTTTTGTTACAGAAAATTTCAGATACAAACATAAAGAAAATTAAACAATCAACCCCCATATTCCTAGCTCTCAATAATGAGCCACTCATAACAATCTTTCAACTTACTTTTAACCCATATTTTGAATCCACAATAGTTATGATACCTACAAAGGAAAAAACATTTTAATCACTTTTAAAAAACAGTGTTTATTAATATTTGTGCAACCATACTTGAGAATGAAAATTAAAACTAACCTATTTCAGTTCACAAATGCTACTCAATAAAACAATGTACTGTTTTTCTCTTGCCAGTGCTGCCATTTAATTAAATTCCAGTAATAAGTCAATGCATTTCAAATATGTACTGAGTGGCTAGAATTATTTTAAGGCACTAGAGAAGATATCAAACACATAAAAATTTTAAATTAAATAAATATGAAAATAAGATTTCCTTGGCACTGAGAAAGCTTACAATCCAAAATATAAGTCAAATTTCATAACATGGTCAAATGTGATAAGTACTTAAGACAGGTTATTTCTAGTTTATTTTCACTAATCAAAATCAAGATTTTCTTAACATTTAAATTATTGCCTACATAATGAGACATCTTAGGATATCATTCCTAACATCTCTCACCAAATCCAAATCCAACTCATAAAAATGTTTTACATAACATATGTCTAAGTTTCCAGACTACCGATTCATTTAGCAATCTCTGAATACATGCTGATAACAACAGAATGAGTTTAATTATGCCTAAGGAATTCAACCAGTTACACGCCATATATATTACAGCTCAATGATGGGGCCCATTTAATAATTCTTAAATTTCTTAATGGTTCTTAGTTTTGAAAAAGTAAGAAAAAGACTGGTTTTTAAAAACATGAAAAAGGGAAAGAGAAAGGGAGAAAACATAGTTGCTTAACTAAGAAAGCTTCTATTTTAAATGAAGGCATATCATTTATAAGTTTATAAAGTAGACTGCCCAAAAGTGTTAAGGTAAATAAAGTAAGGGAGGAGTATTTAATTCTTATCTTCAAGAGAAAATAAGAGCAAAAATATGATCTTCATATTGCCTGGCAGATTAAAATAAAAGACTCTAACATTATAGTAAGTACAGAAATCAAACAACAGAGGATACAGAAAATCCTTTTTTTTTTTTTTTAAAGAAAACCTTAGCAGAAGCACTAAATTGGGAGTTGAGTGACATCCAGTTCCACCACTGCCTGGGGTTTTTTAATCTATATGAACAAAGACTTCATCATTAAACTAAAGTGTGAAAAGAACAACAATGCAAGGAATTAAAGTTATAATATGAATGAACAACAATAAGCTTAACCATAAAGATTTTTCTTAAAAACAAAGAGGCAGGGTGTGTTGGCTCACGCCTGTAATCCCAGCACTTTGGGAGGCCGAGGCTGGCGGATCACCTGAGGTCAGGAGTTCAAGACCAGTCAGGCGAACATGGTGAAACCCCGTCTCTACTAAAAATCCAAAAATTAGCCAGGCACAATGGTGCGCCAGCTACTCGGGAGACTGAGGCAGGAGAATTGCTTGAATCCGGGAGGCAGAGGTTGCAGCGAGCTGAGATCATGCCACTGCACTCCAGTCTGGGAAACAAAGCAAGACTCTATCTCAAAAAAAAACAAGAAAAAAGAAAATTGTTTTTTAACTTACCATCAAGATAAATATCACTCCCTAATTCAGCATCAACCCAAAACATAGAAGCCACTGCACCTGAAAATATATAATATTCATCAAATAAAAATATTTCTTAACACTGAGAAACATGATTCTATCCATGTTTTAATTTGCCCTGATGAAATTAACAGGTAAACACATATATCTTCTTATGGAAATTATAGTGATAGAAACTTTAACTATTTCTAGCAAAAGGGAATTATAGCGCTAGAACCTTTTACTATTTATACCCATTCCATTTCTATCCCTCTTGTTCTTTCCTTTAAAAAAGACTAACTTTTACCACATATAAATAAAACATCATTCTTCTACCGATGCCATAATAATAACAGATATTATCAAACAATTTGAGCAGTATGGCTTTGTGCACATCAGACTTATTTTTATTTTCTCATCTCTTTAATATGATAATCATTCAGATCATAAACAGTGAATTATCACTCTAAAGGAAAAGGAAAACAAAATATAGATAATTCCAAAATCACTTGTCCAAAAAAAATTTACTTGTAATCTGTGTAGAACTAGAAGTAAAATTATATACTCTATGGCATTACTAATTATTTCTCATACTATTTATTTAGTACTGTATAAAAACCTGGGTCTGAGGAAAAACTATTCCTAAATAATAAATTAAAACTTGTTTTTGACAGAAACTGGTTCAGTACCAAACCACATACCCTGATTAGTATGCCATAACACAAGAAAAAGAAAACTGACAGCAAGGAAAGTATTTGATTTTTCAAAGCATCATAGGCCCAGTTAGTGACAGGGCTGTCTAAAAGAATGAGTGTAGGAGAAAAACAAGGATAACCAAACTCATTCCAATGTCTAAAGCTGTCCACCTACTCTGACAAGATGTGGTCCCTCAAGCATCACTCTGTGTCAACAATGAAATACCTGTCAGCTGTTTACAGTGATTACTCATGCAAGATATAGCAAGGGCCACAAGATCTAATGGTTTCCTGATACCTATTGATTTTTTTCCCAAAAACTTAATAGTTTTCCAATTTGACTCAAATAGGATTTGTGAGTAACAGGGGCTGAATCAATGTCCGTTCTTTTCAAGGAAATTACTTTACCATGACAATTATTTAACTGAGAACTGCAGAGTGTCAGTCTCCGAAACGGGAAACAACTGAATTGCCAATAAGAATTTTGTTCACTTTCTTGACTAAAACATGATTTTAATTAATGAGGGGGAAGAATTAAATCTACTATATCACTACTCCAAACAATAAGTCATTTAAAAAAGCATTATTTTTTTTCACTCAGTAAAATATCTAACACACATAAATCATTTTGTAATTCTAAAAAATTCATTGATTTTTATTCTAATAAATAGTTCATAAATCCTACTGTTAATATTTGCCTCTTAAGTTGAAGTGTAAGAGTGTATTAATGCTTTATTGTAAAACTGGTATTTATCTTTGATATAATACTTGCCAGACTATACAAGAAAGATCTACTTAAAATTTGGATGTAGGTATTTAGGAGCAGGAGTAAAGATGAATGAACGAAATTGATCAATGGCTCTCAAACCAGGGTGCTTTTCTCCCCAGGGAATATTTCGCAATGTCTGAAGATGTTTTTGGTTGTCTTAACTAGGGGAATACTACTGGCATCTAGTGGGTAGAAGCCAGGGATATTGTTAAATATCCTACTCTGCACAGGGCAACCTTCTCACAACAAATAATTATCCAATCCAAAGTTATTTGTGCTGACGTTGAGAAAACCTGAACTAGATTTTAGAATCTCCCTTCTTCAAAATCTAATAAAACAAAAAATAAAAATAAAAAATAAAACAAAAAGGCCAACATTTTATTAGCAGCAACCAAATATAAAAGGGCCTGCCAAAAATTTTGAAGCCTGATAGTCAAAATAAGAAACAAAGTTATGTGTGATTGATGGTCATTCCCAACTCTACCCCGACCTCCAATAAGAGGTTGTAGGGAAATAGTTTACAAAATCCTAAACACTTACCAGAAATACATTCCAAAATGGCAAAAAGTAGAGCCAAGGAATGAATAAGCAATACAGGGAAAAGTCAACAAAAAAATGTCCAGAGTAAGTTTTAACCATCTCCATGCTTTGGGAAGGAGAAGGTCAGGTCACATTCTAGGGCTCAGAGCAAACAGAAATGAGAGGTCTGAGGCCGAATGAGGTCCCCACACAAGGCATAGGAATTTTATCCATAAGCAGTTGGGTAGACCCAAGAGGGAAATACTCGGTACATCAAGAGAGCAGAGCCTAAAAGCCACATTGCCCCATCTGGCTCTCTCAATCACCACTTTTCCCTTCTCTTTCCCTCCACTCCAACAATATATAGCTTTCAAAGTAGGGTTCAGGAGAAAAGTAAACTTGGGTAAGGAGAGTGGAGTATTACAAATATTTCCCATCAGCACCACATATAAGTTCTCCCATATCAAGAAGAAACATGTATGCATATGTATTACAGCCTGACAAAAAGAAACACACACATACAGGGAATAAAAGGCAAGAAAGAACAAAAAATGAAGAAATGAATAGGGCACACAAGGGGCAAAGAACCCACTCTGGAAGGATACATAACCCAAAAAAAACTAAAGAAAACTCTCAGCAACTTCATCATAATAAAGAACTTAAAAACAATACAACCCTATAAAAACAAGCTCAAAAGCAAGAAGAAGCAGAATAAGATGAAAATGCGTTTGTAGTGCTAAAGAAACTTAAAGCCTATATAACACAATGACTTAAGCAATTAATTTATTTAAAATATCAAAAACAGAACAGACACTGGAGAAAACAGAATTATTGACAAAAAGAGAGACTTCAGATGATCACAGTAAATGCAAAGGTAAAAGACAAATCAAAGCAATTAGAATACATACAGAGAACAAAAGAAATTTCAGTATTAAAAAACTGGTGTCATGAAGTAGAGGATCCAATAATTTGACCAAAAAAAAGTATTCATGGTAATAAACAAGGAAAATGTTCTTAGAAGAACTAAGGGCAATAGGAAAAAATGATTATAAGTGACACTTAGATATATCTTGTTTATATTACTGAATTTCAAAAATAAAGAAAAAACTCTCAGGCATTTTAGATTTAAAACAACAACAACAACAAAAAAAAAACAAGCGCCTTCAAGGAGGGAGGGGGAAAAATCAGACTTTTCTACAGTAACACTAGATGTCCCAAAATAATAAAACAGTGACCACAAAGTTCTAATGAAAGTGTTCCCAAACAAAATTACCTCCTGCCAAGTTATTTTTCAGGAATGAAAGCAATAGGCAGACATTCTTAAGCATTAAAGAAAACAGCAAGCATTGAAACTCAGAGACTCACAAATTCTTCCTAATAAAAGGAGAAAACATTGGACAAAGAAATCTAGCTAATCAAACACTAGGAGATTATGGAACAACGTTTACAAAGTTGAGGGGGAAAAAAGTGTGACTGATAAATTTTATACCCAGCCAAGTAATCCTTCAAATAATATAAAAACAAAAGACAAATATTTTCAATCAATGAAGTGTGTAAGAACCCAAAGAATGCTGTACCTATAACTTGAAAAGATTGCCTGACAATGAAATTCAATCAGGAGATGGACTAACTCAGAAATGGAGAAGCAACAGTACTGGTAATGAGCACCAAAACTAATAAAACATAGAATTAAAGAATTACGACAGAACCATGACAACATAAAGAATATGATCAACATGAAACTAGGCCAATTAATACATAACAATGGCCCCTAAGTGTTCAAGTGAAAGGAACAGTCACCTGTTTCTCACTTTAAATCAAGAGCTAGAAATGGTCATGCTTAGTGTGGAAGTTATGTTGAAAGCCAAGAGAGGCCAAAAGCTAGGTCTCTTGAGCCAGTTAGCCAACTTGTGAAGGCAAAGGAAAAGTTCTTGAAGGAAATTAAAAGTGCTACTCCAGTAAACACACAAATGATAATAAAACAGTCTTATTGCTGATATGAAGTGGTCTGGATAGATGATCAAACAAGTCACCACATTCCTTAAGCCAAAGCCTAATTCAGATCAACCCTAACTCTCTTCAGTTCTATGAAGGCTGAGAGAGGTGAGGAAGCTGGAGAAGAAAAGTTGGAAGGTAGCAGAGATCGGTTCACAAGATTTAAGGAAAGAAGTCATGTCCATAACATAAAAGTGCAAGGGAAAGCAGCAAGTGTTGACATAGAAGCTGCAGTAAGTTACCTAGAAGATGTAGCTAACATCATTCATGAAAGTAGCTACAGTAAGCAACAGATTGATTGATTGATTGATTTGAGATGGAGTCTCACTCTGTCGCCCAGGCTGGAGTGCAATGGCTCAATATCGGCTCACTGCCACTTCCGCCTCCTAGGTTCAAGCCATTCTCCTGCCTCAGCCTCCCGATTAGCTGGGATTATAGGCGCCCACCACCACGCCAGGTTAATTTTTGGTATTTTTAGTAGAACTGGGGTTTCTCTATGTTGGCCAGGCTGGTTTCGAACTCCTGAACTCGTGATCTGCCCACCTCAGCTTCCCAAAGTGCCGAGATTACAGGCGTGACCCACCGCACCTGGCCAGCAACAGATTTTTAACGGAGATTAAATGGACTCCTTTTGGAAGAAGATGCCATTTAGGACTTTCATAGCTAAAGAGAAGTCAATGCCTAGCTTCAAAGATCCAAAGGACAGGCTGACCCTCTTGTTAGAGGCTAAAGCAGCTGGTGACTTCAAGTTGAAGCCAATAGTCATTTACCATCCTGAAAATCCTAGGGCCATTAAGAATTATGCTAAATCTCCTCTGCCTGTTTTCTATAATAAAGCCTAGATGACAGCACATCTATTTACAGCATGGTTTACTGTTTACAGCATGGCTTATTTTAAGCCCACCATTGAGATCTACTGCTTAGGAAAAAAAAAGATTCCTTCAAAATATTATTGCTCATTGACAACGCACCTGATCATCCAAGAGCTGTGATGGAGATGTACAAGGAGATTAATGTTGTTTTCATGCCTGCTAACACAACATCCATTCTGCAGCCCATTGATCGAGGAGTAACTTTGACTTTCAAGTCTTATTTAAGAAATATATTTCATAAGGCTATAGCTGCCATAGACAGTGATTCCTCTGACGGATCTGGGCAAAGTAAATTGAAAACCTTCTGGAAAGGATTCATCATTCTAGATGCCATTAAGAACATTTGTGATTCATGGGAGATCAAAATATCAACATGAATAGGAGTTTGAAAGATGATTCCAGCCCTCACAGATGATTTTAAGGGATTCCAGACTTCAGTGGAAGAAATAACTGCAGATGTGATGGAAACAGCAAAAGAACTAGAATTAGAAGGGGAGTCTGAAGATGTGACTCAATTCCTGCAATCTCATAAGAAAATTTTAACTAATGAGAAGTTGTTTCTTAGGGACGGATTAAAAAAACGTGGTTTCTTGAGATGGAATCTACTCCTGGTGAAGATGCTATGAACACTGTCAAAATGACAACAAAGGATTTAAAATATGACAGGAGTTTAATTGATAAAGCAGGGTTTGAGAAGACTGACTCCAATTTTGAAAGAAGTTATACTGTGGGTAAAATGCTATCAAATAGCATCATGTGCTAAAGAGACATCTTTTATGAAAGGGAGAGTCAACTAATGCAGCAAACTGCATTATTATCTTATGAAATTGCCACAGCCACCCCAACCTTCAGTAACCACTACCCTGATTGGTCAGCACCCTAAATTGTAGCAAGACCCTCTACCAGCAAAAAGATTATGACTTGCTGAAAGCTGAGATGATTGTTAGCATTTTTTAGCAATAAATATTTTTAATTAAGGTATGTTTTTTAGACAATTCTATTACACATTTAACAGACTACAGTATAGTATAAACATAGCCTTTTTTTTTTTTTAAAGAGATGGGGTCTCATGCTGTCATCCAGGCTGGAGTGCAGTGGTACAATCACGACTCACTGCAGCCTGAAACTCCTGAGCTCAAGTGATCCTCCCAAGTAGCTGGGACTACAGGCCAAAACGTATAACTTTTATATCCAATGGGAAACAAAAACATGTGTGTTACTCACTCTATTGTGATATTCAGTTCACTGTAGTGATGTGGAACTAAGCCCACAATATTCCTGTGGTATGGCTGTACAGTGTAAGAATCACCTGAAGGGTTTATTAAAACAGCTTGCTGGACCCCCTCCCTTAGAGATTCAGATTCAGTAGATCTGGGTTGGAGGTCAAGAATTTGTGTTTCTTTCTTTTTTTTTTTTTTTTTTTGAGATGGAGTCTCGCTCTGTCGCCCAGGCTGGAGTGCAGTGGCCGGCTCTCAGCTCACTGCAAGCTCCGCCTCCTGGGTTCACGCCATTCTCCTGCCTCAGCCTCCCGAGTAGCTGGGACTACAGGCGCCCGCCACCTCGCCCAGCTAGTTTTTTGTATTTTTTAGTAGAGACGGGGTTTCACCGTGTTCGCCAGGATGGTCTCGATCTCCTGACCTCGTGATCCACCCGTCTCGCCCTCCCAAAGTGCTGGGATTACAGGCTTGAGCCACTGCGCCCGGTCAAGAATTTGCGTTTCTAACAAGCTCCCAGCTGAGGCTGAGGCTGCCGGCCATTCAACATACTACCAAGTAGCACTGGCATAGAGAGATCACCGGAATAAAATTTACCTACGTGTGTGTGTGTGTGTATATATGTATATACATATATAGACAGTCTTGCTCTGTGGCCCAGACTGGAGTGCAGTGATGTGATCCCGGCTCACTGCAACCTCCGCCTCCCAGCTTTCAAGCATTCTCATGCCTTAGCCTCCTGAGTAGCTGGGATTACGGCCTGCGCCACACCACCTGGCTAGTTTTTGCATTTTCAGTAGAGATTGGATTTCACCATGTTGGCTAGGCTGGTGTTGAACTCCTGGCCTCAAGGGATCCACCTGCCTTGGCCTCCCAAAGTGCTGGGATTACAGGTATGAGCCACCATGCCCAGCCCCTATTTGTATATCACAATAGTGAGATGATTACTTTTCAACTTTCTTCTTTGTATTTTTTAGGTATTTAAATTTTTTTTACAATGAATGTTCCATCTTTACCCAAACAATAACATCATTATTGTAAAGAAAGTTAAAAGCAAGAAACATTAACATTTTTTACAACTACATTTTGTAGAAAAGCTTTCTCTGTGACCTTTAGTTTTTCTTTCTTCCTCTGAAAAGCTGAATCGTGTTTAATTAAACTCTCTCAAAAGTATCGAGTTTTTGTCTATAAAGTGGCAAAACTGGCTATGATGAAATAAACTGATATTTGCTATTTCTAATAAAAAGCATACAATATATTTTTCTTTCTTACCAGATTCAAATAATATTTAACATCAACATATTAGTCCAAGTCCTATCATCACTCAGATTTATCAGAAAGGTATGAAAAACCTATGCCTACTATAAGGACCAAAATAGCCTAATTCAATACTACTTTGTAAACATGGGGATGATGTTATTATGTAATTGTTTTAAGTACAATAACCACTGATCACATCTGAACCCTCAGGATACTTCAGTATTTCTTTTGGACAACTATGACCTGTTAGTAAATTACCCCCAAATACTTTAATGGAGTTTTACAAATTGCCCTAATGCCAGAGACCCAGATTAAAAAAATAGTAATAATGGTATGGGTGAGATTCACAGAACAAGCACTAACTGTTATGCAAACTGAAAATAAAGATTTTATCTAAAAGTTATTTGGGGAAAATAAGCAGATTTTATCAAGAATTGGAGCTTGGTAAGAAGGTAACAGAAACCCATTGTTAGAAACAGGTTGACTCTGTAGCTTTCCATAGTAGAGTTTAGAGTTTCTTGTCATGATTCCCTTATCAATGCAGTCTAATAACTACTTACACAGCACTTACATTGTATTAGGTATTATAAGTAATCTACAGATGATTTAAAGTATATGGGAGGATGTGCATAGGTTATAGGCAAATACTACACCATTTTATACAAGGGACTTGAACATTCATAGATTTTGGTATCCTCAGAGGTCCTGGAACTAATATCCCATGGATGCCAAGGGACAACTGTACTCAGAGGTAGAACGTCTCTGCTTTTCCTACATGTCCTATTTTTAACAACTTCTGTTCTTACAAATAATCCTAAGTCAATCAATAAAACTTCAAATTCTATTAACAGCTTAAAAGTACCAAACAATACTCTGATCATTCATTCATCTGCCAGAGAAGATGACAACCGAGTACTTTTCCTCTTTTAAACCAAAAAAAGTTTTAACCCTAAGGAAAGCTTTAATACTCATTTTAGATATTCCTCTAATACATCTATTTATAATATATCACAGAACTATATTCTGGTTATTAATAATCTCACTTCTTACCAGGATCTGCTAATCCAGTGGTCTCTAACAGTATGTAATCAAATTTCCCCTTCTTCTGCATCAAATTCTCAATGGCTCTAAGGCCATTGTCCCTGGAGAATACCAAAACATAATTTACAGTTGATTACCTAAATATTCTGAAGTGATTATTATACACATTTTAAAACATATTCAACAACTCGAGACAAAAGTATCCTTAGGAATGTGAAAATTTAACTCACTACTAACCTAACAAAATGTCTGTCCCATATTTACCAGTGAGAAAACAATAGATGCATATATATAATAGGTAAAAAGAAATCATATACATAATAATACTTTATTAAAATTAAAAGCAGAGGAAACTTTATCTGACCAAGTCAGTATCTTTTTATAGCTTCATGAAATTTTAAAAAACCAATATTCAAAATAATGATAAAATTTATTAACTATAGTAGTTTAATATAATAGCTAAAGGGACACTGATATTATATACCACTTAATTCTATTTTGCATTAGGATACAAGGTTTTAATTTCCCTTTTTTCTTATTTTATCAAAAGTGAAGGAAAATACTTAATAGATTACATTTTGGTTGTTCAAGAGTCTGTTATAATTTCATCCTTGCCAATACATTTGAAACAAAGTCAAATACCTAAGGGGGTAAATGATGCCGAAGAGATTTAATTCACTAGAATACACAAAATTAACAATACAAGCAATCATTTTTATAATTCATTCAACAAATACTTGAGTGCTACTATGTGTTGGGTAACTCTTATAGGGTCTATGGTAGACTAGTGAACAGACACTGTTCTTGGAAACTTAACTAGTGGAACATAATGTAAGGTTTTTCTCTTTTTTGACAGTCATTTACTTTTTGTTTTTATAAGGGTTGAACACTTGGGAATATGACCAATGACGTATTAATTCAGAATAATCATTTTTTACATAGGAGACTTTCATGCACTAGAGATTAATTAAATAAGCCCTGACATCAAAAGCAATAAAAACTCAATAAAAGGACCAAAACATTTGAGCAGATAGAAAAGACAGCAAGAAACACTTTAAGAAAATGCTTCCTAATAAGTTTATTTTCTATAAACTTTCTATTTGTTAAAAAATACAATGAAGCAAACTGTGTAAATTCAGTTAAATTACTCAAGAAAATTAAAGCTGGAAATATAATCTAAACATTTCTAGTAAACCATAGACATAGTAAACACATTCCTCACTTCACTGAACAGCAGAGGCAACCGTTTCTAAGTTCTAGCCACTCTTCATAGAGCTCTCCACCTTGGCTGACAGCTAAGGATTTCTCCAGTGCACTTCCTAGAATAATTAACAAACAGCACTCTTTACCTTATGTTCATTAGCCAACAAAAAACAAAGATAAGGATAACTCAGTAATGGAGATCTTAAAGTAGAAACAGAATTTTATAACATATTTTTTCATTTTATTCATGCAGTCTCGATATCTAAATTACAGTACACTATTTTAGCTTTTATTTAAGATGACTTAAGCCCTTAAAAAGACACATCCTAAACTGATAAACATACCTACTTTCTTCTCAGGCCTCTTACTTGGCCACCCCCATTTCTTAATAAAGTAGCTATCTTGAAGGCATTTTATTCTTGTTCAGGGTAAACTTTCTAAATAAACTAGTATGTTTTATATACTGGACTTTGTATGCCCTTCAACCTCTTAAGAGATTGCCTTATCTATCTTTTTCTTTTCACTCTTCTAAATTGTTTCTGTTAGACAAATGGCTGAATATTCCCAATGAGTAAAAACCCCTAGTTCATCTTGAGGAAGGTTTTTGGCCAGTGTATCATGTGCTCATTTAAAAATTAAACTTATAGGGAGGCCGAGGCAGGCGGATCACGAGGTCAGGAGATGGAGATCATCCTGGATAACACGGTGAAACCCCGTCTCTACTAAAATTACAAAAAATTAGCCGGGCATGGTGGGGGGTGCCTGTAGTCTCAGCTACTTGGGAGGCTGAGGCAGGAGAATGGCGTGAACCCGGGAGGCGGAGCATGCAATGAGCTGACATCGCTGGCACCACTACACTCCAGCCTGGGCGACAGAGCGAGACTCCAAAAAAAAAAAAAGAAAATTAAACTGATAGGCCGGGTGCCGTGGCTCATGCCTGTAATTCCAGCACCTTGGGAGGCCGAGGCGGGCAGATCATCTGAGGTCAGGAGTTCGAGATCAGCCTAGCCAACATGGGGAAACCCCATGTCTACTAAAAATACAGAAATTAGCCAGACGTGGTGGCGGGTGCCTGTAGTCCCAGCTACTGGGGAGGCTGCGACAGGAGAACTGTTTGAACCCGGGAGGCGGAGGTTGCAGTGAGCCAAGACTGTGCCACTGTACTCCAGCCTGGGCAACAGCTTGGGTGACAGCGAGACTCCCCAATCTCAAAAAAAAAAAAAATTAAACTTTTAGTTAAATTCACATATTTTCCTAGCAATGCTTACTTAAGAAAGAATAAACTATATTTGAAATGCTTGTTATCTATAAGAATTATTTTAAATGTTTTACTTTTCCTCTAATAAAGAAATATACCAAACGGTGAAGAGTTCTAAAAGTCCAGTAAGCAAATGAGCCCCCATAAAATTGAGTAGTTTTACACTTCCATAGTTTTTATCATATTTCAGCTAGGTATTAATAAAGAGCTTCTAAAGGGGTTGCTACAGAATTCAGACTACATACAAAACATTAATGAAACATGAAGGAAAGTGTTAAGAATGCCGTGAAAAATAAAATTGTGAAAATGATCCAGGAAAAAATAAAGAAAATAGTAAGAATAAATGTAATCAGTGTGCAATAGGTTATTTAATAAGATGATGGAAAAAAACAGTCTGTTATTAGAAATCTCAGGATTTTTGCCTAAAAAGCACTTTTCTCTATAGTTTATTAAAACTAGAAATCGAATATAACAGGTTTCCCATCCTGTTCATAAAACCTAGCTTTTTTACTTTTTACAACTGAAAAAAATAGTACGTTTTAAAAGAAATTGTTTAATAGATATTGTTTTTTGGCTAGAAGTGAGCTTTGATTACAATTCATACTTATGAAGAAAAACTCCTATAAAGATAATAGAAGTATTGTGTCTAGCACTATTTTTTTTAACTACAGTTTAATATTTGAGTTGAGAAGCTAAGCACACTTATTTTCACAGATAATTTAAGATACATGAGCATAAAGACCATATGTTTATCTTATTTTTAAAATCTTGAGTTTTAACTGCATTGCAGATAATAAACATTAAACAAAGTAAACTTAGAAGCATTTTCAATTATTTTTCATGAGTTGCAATAAAGTCCATACAGAAGTGTCTTTCTAGTTCCTAAAAAGAACATTTTTTGGCTGGGCGTGGTGGCTCACGCCTATAATCCCAGAACTTTGGGAGGCCGAGGCAGGCAGATTATGAGGCCAGGAGCTCAAGACCATCCTGGACAACATGGTGAAACCCCATCTCTACTAAAAATACAAAAATTATCTGGGTGTGGTGGCGCGCGCCTGTAATCCCAGCTACTCGGGAGGCTGAGGCAGGACAATCGCTTGAACCCAGGAGACAGAGGTGGCAGTGAGCTGAGACTGTGCCACTGCACTCCAGCCTGGCGACACAGAGAGACTCCATCTCAAAAATAAAAATAAAAAATAAAAAAACCGTTTTTTCATACATCTAGATTTTTACTTCTGGAGTCATTTATTTCATGTAAAAATCTAGTTTAATTCTATTAATAAGAATTCCAAAGTTACACAAAATAAAATTTTATTAAAACTAATTTCAGTATTTTCAACCCATATAAATCTTAACAGAAATTAATCTAATTTTTCCAAAGCTATCCACATCAGTATAATACCTTGCATTTTCATTTTTAAACATGGAATATCAACTCACCAGAGGAAGAAAGTCACATAAAATCTTGCAACATGACATTTATTTATTGAACTTTACTTACCTTCCCCAAATTCATTTAAAATGACTGCTACTCTTTTACTATGTTGCTCTGTCAAAATATAGTTCAGAAGTGTTGTCTTCCCAGCACCTATAAAACATTTTTTGTAAATAAAAAATTCAAAATAATTTTAAAGATATGAAAAAGATATAAAGAATCCTAATGTTTTTGGGAATTTGCATGCTATTTTTCATATATTATTTAAGTACAGTATAGAACATCCTAGAGGATAAGATTAAAGCACCCTTTGAAACCTATTGCAAAATACTTTATGTAGACATACAATTTTATAAATATTTACAAATACTCCTACAAGTTGAAACAGTTTCTTCAACCTAGCCTAACGTTTCCTAAAATTTACACACAATGATCTTTTATTTATAATGACCTTTTATTTCAACATTAACCAGAGGCAAATTCAGGCTGAGTATATGGCTACTTATAGTATGCTTTAAACAATCTATAAAAGTTTTTATGAAATAAGAAATAGAGGCAGGTAGTGTCAACAACGCACAGAATGTTCAGTAAAGATAAATTCATAGAGCTATACCAACTTTATCCAGCAGGTGGCATGTGAAACCTAATATGTCAATCTTGAGTAGCAGAGTCTTGTGAACCATACACACTAAAGTTCATAGAGGAAAAAAATAAAACCCTAACTGCATAGTATTGTAGTTCAATTGTATGACTATATCATTTCTTTATCTTTTTTTGTTGGACATCATTTCCAGTCTTTTACTATTACAGTGCTGCTAAAAACTTTTACATGTAGGTGATATACATGTCTTCTGAAATATATTAAGTTTTCTAGTATACAACTAGATCTTCCTATAACTAGGAAGATTTTACGAAGTATTAGGGTATTAATATCTTTGAGGTCATATTCCTTTCAAAGCTTTTTAAGAGATGGAGGCTTACATTTAGAGTACTTTAGGAGGCTCAACATCACAAAAGTATGAAGTATAGAATGGAAGAGAGAGACTTTGGGCAATGAGAAAAATCTTAAAATCAGTCCAAGATTGAGACAGAGGCCCTGAACATGAGTGTTTCACAGGGCACTGATGTGAAAACTGAAAGGAAAGGGTGAACGTAAGAAATCTCCTAAGAGAAGACTTATTAGGGCTTTTTAACCATATTATGAAGAAAAACACTTTAAGACATAGTTCATTCATTCCAAGGTTTCTAATATGTAACAGATTTATGCTGGGCCTTGGTGAAAAAGTGAACAAGACAGCCTCTGCCTTCACAGAGCTTAGAAATATCAAGGGAAGCGGGGAATGGAGGGGAATTCAGTGAATAAGGAGGCAATTCTGTCACAGGATGACATATTCAATAGGAGATGTACGAAATGCTATGGAGAACCTAAAAGGGACATCTAGCCAGAGGAGTCACAGTAAAAAAGTACCTATTCCAAGGGGCGAAAATACTTGGCACCTTTGAAGTAACATTAGTTCATTGTGCAGGGCCAATTTGGCAGGCTGGAAAGGTTGGCAAGATCCAGATCCTACAGGTCCTTGTAATTCATGTTAAGGAATTTGAACTTTAACCCATATGGACGCCACTGAAAGGTGTGACGCAATCGGACCGACATAAAGATCATTAAGGTTAATTAAGGCAAGGAATAAATTAAAGGGCAACAAGACTCCAGATTAGTCAGGAGGCTTTTAGAGTATTCCAAATGGTTGGGATCACAGGAGCAGGATTTGGGGGGATGGTAACGGATGAAGTTTCAGACATGTTAAGCTTTAAGTTGTAGGACATCAAAATAGAAATTACACAGATGTGTAGCTAAAGATGGACAAAGGGGGAAGGAGGAGGGAGCCTTAAAAAGAAGCCAGAGAAGCAGGTGGAAAAATCAGAAGAAAAATGTAATAGAAGTCAACGGAACAGTGCTTCAAAAAGGGAAAATGGTCAGTGATAGGAGTGAAACTATCCCTAGATTCAGCAACAGGTTTGCTGGTATTAGTCCTCACTCCTGAGCTTCAGATCATTTTCTCCAATGATCAGCTGATCTACCGGTGAGCAACACACGGGAAAGGCCCGAGGGGCACGTTTGAAATACATTGTTTTGGACAAGAAATTTGTTCATCTTGTCAGTAGAACAGCCTCTGAATAACTGGGGAAATGCCAAAAATCCACTCCTTTATGAAATTACTTTCGAGCAAAAAACGGGAATAAACTTACAGTCTACAAAGTTAAAAAAAAAAAAAAAGTTCGTATTTTTACATAAAAGGTCATGAGGTGGCCCAAGTCTGTACCTGTCTCTAGCAACACCTAGGAATATTATTTCTCTGAAACAGTACCATTGTATTTACATTTCTTAACTTTTTTCAAACTTTTAATAGTCATATATTTGTTCTAGCCCTTTTATTTAACAGTAAAGTTTAAAAATATACTTCTCAAACTTTTCCAGTAAGAAATTTCTACTGTAAGTGCATAAACCGCTCTTCACGAAACTACCAGGTTCACAAACCTGTGGTTTCGAGTATCCCTGTACACTCATAAACGTTCTTAGTTTGAGAAATAGTCTTGGAGGACAGAGATTTTATTCTTACTTCCTACGCAGCGGTTTACAAACAGACCTCAAAAAAATAAAAAAATAAAAAAAGGTGTTTGAGATAGGAGCACTTCCCGCTAACTGGCTGGAGGACTTTGGCTCGTGGGGAAGCGGAATCTACTGAGGAAAGCCCCACATGTCGGGCATTTTACACACGGGACGTCCTTTAGTGGCAATAGGTAGGTGATTCCGGCCCTATTTCACAGGTGACAGGTATTTTTGCCATTTTCAGGTGAGATGGATGAGCGTCAGGAAAGTAAGATAGCTTGCTAAGAGGTCACAGAGATAATCAGGGGGGCGTGTCTGAGCTTCAAAGCCTTGTTTCAAAGGCTAATTTCGATCTCACTTGAGACATGGGAATCTAACGCAGAGGGGACCCGGCATCACTAAACTCCCAAGATGAGAGGGAACCCATACCAGGAGCAAGGGACCCAGCCCCTACCTCAAAGCCATTTGCTCTTGATCATGAGGCCCCTATGCCTCAGGAGAAGAGGCACCGGCAGCCCCCAAAATCCCAGGATACCAGAGTTCACGGCATTTTGTGACCGGGATGGTTAGTTACCTAAATACCCGGTGATAATTGTGACTGGGATCTTGGCGCCGAGGCCAGACTTTTCCTCCTCCTCGCTTTGCTTCGTCTCAATGGGAACCAATTCAGGACAATCTTCCTCCGCAGGATCCTCTTCCTCATCCACAGATCCGACAGTCGGTAACATTCCGGCCTACAGCACGTCCGTACCTCCGCTGAACCGCTGGGACCAACACTTCATACCGCAGCCGCGCACGCCCAGCACGCCACTCCAGGCCTGGCCCGGGCGTGACGTCATCACACCGCGACGCTAGTTGATCCCGCCCCGATTACCTGGGCTCTGGACAAGAACTGCCTCTTCCCTTAGCCGCACCCCCCAGGGAGGTGGTCTCTCCCCGACGGAAGCTGGACACGCCCCTGGGCGTGTTCTGTAAACCTGAGCAACGCTGCGGAGAGTCCTTAGGGCGCACTGACCACCTGTCTGAAGGTGGCACAGGCGCCTATAGCCTTAATAAGCTACTGGCTGTGGGTAGGGCTGAGGCCAGCCTGCTGGAAATCTGGAGTGGGTAGCCTGACCTAACCAGTTCCCACAGGGCGTAGACTTTATCAACCTGACCTTTTAGTCTCGTTTTTAAAAAAAAAAGTTTTAATTCATAGGGGAAAGAATGGAAGATTATAACATTACAATTTTAATTGTAATTTTTATACCTGAAGGATAACCAGTGACACTTTTTTCTTTTTTTATTATTACATATTATATAGGTAATTCCAAATTTTTGGTATTTGTGCATCACTTTTATTTACTTTTTTCTCATTATTTATTTGGATCTCAGGTAACCTAAGTTCATTAATTATATTTGCTGGTTAATGACACTCTCATTACTAATCCATAGTAGCCCTCCTTTCTAATATAAATTTATAGTGAACTTCTTTGATCTGATCCCTAACCTAAGAACATTACCAGTGACTTACATGTACCTGCGTGCACCAACCCTGCTTCCAATCCACAGCCTGTCCTGTAAGATAGTAACAACAATCATGAATTGGTTTTGGATTGCCAATCATTCCGTCTTTTCTTTTTAGTTTTATCACATGTATCACGTATGTACTTAGATAATATGTTGTTTAATTTTGGGTGTTTTTGAACTTCATAAAATTATCCATATACTATATAAACTCCTGAGGCTTCCTATATCTTTCAGCATCACTGCTGTCTTGTATTCTATTGTGTGGCTACAGGGCAATTTATTCATTTTCTCTCAATTGTTCGAGGTTTTGCTCTTATGATCAGGGCTGCTACGAACATTTTTCCTGATGTATGTGTGTGCAACTTTCTCTTGGGAGTCTGTGTAAGAGTTGAATTGCTGGGTCCTAGGTTATTCAAATGTTATACTTTGCAAGGAAGTGCACAATTATTTTTCAAAATGTTTGTACAAATTGATACATTTTCCCAGCAAATTATAAGAGATCTCATTGGTCTGTATGTCAATATTATCAGGCCTTAATTTTTCACCAATCAGTTGAGTACAAAAGAAGACTTCATTGTGATCTTCATTTGCATTTCCTTGATTACTAACAAGATTGAGAACGTTTTCATGTGTTTTGACAATATTTAATTCTTAGAATGACCCTGTGAAGTGTTATCCCTCTTTCAAACATGAGGCACCAAGAGTTACTTGTCCAGGTTAGGTCATAAAAATCTATCTGATGCACAAATAGAATGTTTTACTACTATCCTGGTGCCAAATAAAAGGTTGACTTTTCCTTCCTTCTCTGAAAATCCTCATAAAATATACTGTGTGTATTCCATTAGTTCTACTGATAAGGATATATAACTTGAAAGTTTTCTTTGCGGTATTTATCACACCTTTTGCAGAACACAGTTAAGACAGGCGGTTTATATTTGCGCAAATGAGTGTAATATATTCACACATACACTCAGTCTGAGAAATCAGGACTTGAATGCTTTGCCAGCTTTGACAATGTAATCATTAACCACCTGAGGAAGAAATGAGGCAAATACCTTAGGCATGGTGGTTCAGTTCACTTTATTCTACCAAAGGAGAAAAGCTGTGATGGGCAGCCCAAAATAGATTGTGAACCTAAACACAATGGTTCACAAGCTTTTTCATTTCAGGAATGCTATGAAGTATTGATTTTTTTTGACAACCTAAAGGAAGGAGTAACATTGCACCCACAGGCATCACACTATTTGCTTGATGTCCTTTCAGCACTGCATTACTGCCTGAATAGTAGCTATGACAGCCCTCACCACCTTCTTTTACATATTTTTTAAAGTACATTCTTGTGGGTTCCCAATATGGCACTGGCTGAATGTTATGCTAAAATCCTTCTTTCTGTTTTTTGAGACAGGGTCTCACTCCGTCGCCCAGCATGGAGTGCATTGGCACGATCACAGCTCACTGCAGTCCTAAACTCCTGGGCTCAAGTTATCCTCCCACCTCAGGCTCCCAAGTAGCTGGGACTCCAGTCATATGCCATTACATCTGGCTAATTTTTGTTTTTTTTTTTTGGTGGAGACAGGGTCTCACTATGTTGTCCAGTCTGGTCTAAAGTCTCATCTCTAACAATGAGCAACCTGTAACCTGTGAGGCCAGCTCAGTCAAGTTGACCTAATAGCATTATTGTAACAGTATGTAGCCTCAGTCAGAGCAAAATAAGTTTTACACATTGGCCAAAAATTAAATGCACCACAAATATCTATCAACTGATAGACAACCAAAATATGACAAATGGATAAACAAAATATGATCTATCCATACAATGGAAAATTATTTGGCAATAAACAGGAAAAAGGACTGATACCTGCTACAAAATGAATCAATCTTGAAAACATTATGGTAAGTGAAAAAAGCTATTCACAAAACACCACATGTTGTATGATTCCATTTATATGAAATATCTAAAATAGGCAAATCTATGGAGACAGAAAGTACATTAATGGTTCCCGGAGTGGAGGACTGGGGAGAGACTACAATGGTTTTTGGGCGGTGATGAAAATGTTCTAAAATTGATTATGGTGATGGTAGTACAACTCTGATTATACTGAAAACCATTAAATTGTACACTTTAAATTGGTGAATTGTATCATATGTGAAATTTATCTCAATAAAGCTGCTATTCTTAAAAGAAATAAAGGCCTATCTGTGCATCAAAATGGGGTGCCTGTGTGCATTTGTAGAGAAACACTGTCTTCAGCAGTTTCAAGTTCTGGCCTTAGGTACAAGTATAAAGATTACAGCTTGATGAAATTTTTCCTTTAGTCTGTTCCATATTCCTCTTCAGTCAAATTTTTATCCATGGATTCTGTGGAGTCCTGTCATTTTATTTTCTCAGATAGATTTATAATCTCAGTTCTCCCAAAATAGCTGGGCATGACTTTTTATTTTTATTTCTTTTTTCTTTTCTAGATGGAGTCTTGCTCTGTTGCCCAGACTGGAGTGCAGTGGCATGATCTTGGCTCACTGAAACCTCTGCCTCCCGGGTTCAAGCGATTCTCCTGCCTCAGCCTCCTGAGCAGCTGGGATTACTACTACTCTCACCACCACGCCCGGCTAATTTTTGTATTTTTAGTAGAGACGAGGTTTCACCATGTTGGCCAGGCTGGTCTTGAATTCCTGACCTCATGATCTGTCTACTCAGCCTCCTAAAGAGCTGGGATTACATGTGTGAGCCACTGCACTGGGCTTTTCTTTTCTTTTTTTTTTTTTTTAAACTTATAAGAGGGTTGTCTATTCTGAGTGAGGCTTTCTCATTGTTAAATTTAAAATGTCTTTTTAAATAAGGATGAAATTTCTTCATTATAATATTTTAGGATCTATTACAGTTTCTGATGTAACTTAAAAATTCCTCCTCATTTAGCTTTGCTGTTTTGTTTCATCTCATTTACTTTAGGTTAAAACAACAACAATAACAATAATAATAATGTGTTGAGCCTCTAAGCATCTGATAGGCACTGCCTTAAGCACATTAAATGCATTATCCCACTTAACTCTCCAAGGTAAATACTATTTGTTTGCCAATTTTATAGATGAGGAAATTGAGGCTTAGAAAAGACAAATACCTTGCTCGAAGTCATACAATCAGTAAATGGCAGCCCTTGGGCTCAATCCAAATCTGCTTGACACTAAATCTCATGCTCTTTTAAACCAGAAGACCTGCAAACTTTTCTGCAAAACTAGATGATAAATATCTTAGTCTTTACAGATCAAAAAGCAAATTTAAGGACACTGTGTAGGTACTTATATAATAAGAGAGAAATCGAATGTCTACAAGTTTGAACTTTGAATTTCTGTATTAAACAGAGGCCACTGTTTTGGACTGAGCTCCTGCACTAGTCCCAAGTAGACCAGACCAAACCAAAATGGAGTCACTCATGCTAAGCACCACAAAATCGAACTAAAACTTTAAAAAGCAGGTCCCAAAATAGACGAGTTTTTTTTCTTCTCCTGAAAACAGGAGATTCCAGTATAATAAGGAAGTCCCCTCTGCTCTATCCCTTACAGAAAAGTAATCCGAAGTAACAACAGATTACTTACAAAAAACTAATCTTGGCTGGACACAGTGGCTCATGCCTGTAATCCCAGCACTTTGGAAAGCCAAGGCGGGTGGATCACCTGAGGTCAGGAGCTCAAGACTAGCCTGGCCAAAATGGCAAAACCCTGTCTCCACTAAAAATACAAAAATTAGCTGGGCGTGGTGGCACACGCGTGTAGTCCCAGCTACTCGGGAGGCTGAGGCAGGAGAATCACTTGAACCCGAGAGGTGAGGTTGCAGTGAGCCAAGATCATGCCACTGCATTCTAGCCTGGATGACAGGGTGAGACTCCATCTCAAAAAAAATAAAAAAGTAATCTGATGTTAACCAATCCATTTTTTTTTTTTTTTCCTATTCTGTCTCCTTGTTCCCACCTTACAAAACCCAGTGTTCTGCTATTTTCCAATGGGATTAGAGACGAAATAACTCTATTTATGATGATAAAAAGTGATGTCAATGCCTAAAGTTTTGGGCAACCTCAAAATTAATCATCCTCTCAAAATTGAGAGGTTGACCAAAAGGAGGAAACGTTAAATTCAGTGTGGCCTAAAGCTGCCTCCTTACATATTTTAAGTTTGCCCTAAAGGTTTCCCAGTACATAAAAAACTGTAACTCAACTTGATATGTAAAACGGACTGTAACCTACTCTTGTAACAAGTAGTGAGTCTCAGCCAGTCACAGCAGCCGAACTTCAGCCAACACAGGCAGCCAACTCTTCAAACCAGGTTCAAATAAGGTAAATGCCCAGCTGTAACCAACCCTAGTCTGGTTCTGGGGGCTGCCTAATTCACAAATCATTCTTTGCTCAATTAACCTCTAAAGATTTCCTTTCAATACGTATAATTTTCACATCATGAAATAATAGTCTTCTTTACTTTTTTTTCCAGTGTATTAAAAATGTAAAACCCATTTGCAGGCTATACAATAAATGGTAGCAGTTTCCCAACTCCTGATCTAAGCTAATATAATATACTGTTTTCTTAAGCAGAATTAAATGAAATTTTGCAAAATTGGATCCTCCTTGCTATTTTAAACTCAGTTTGTAAATCATTCACCATTAAAACAATCCTGGACCCTCAAAGGGTTAGGTACCACTGTTACCATAGTGCTAATATTCAGAGGAAGATCTGAAGCTGAGAAGCTTAAACTTTTTTCCCAAGGGCACTAATACCTGGCCTGGGAAAGACCTAATTAAGGTGAAACTTGAGTCTTTGCATTGTAGTAAGAGTCCTCCTAGGTGGGAGAAGAGCAGAGCAGATAAGCTCTTAAACTGTCTGGATTTCAGCAGCTCAGCTTTTTGACAATAACCTTGCCATATGTCCTTTGGCACAATTCCCTACTAATTCCCTGCTAGTCCCCTTAGCTTCATTTTTCTCTCTTGAATAGTTAAGTTAATCATCATAAGAAAAAGAACTGTAGCTATATCCAAATAAGAAGAAAGCTAAAAATAATACCAACTTGGTTTTGTTTTTTGTTTTTTTTCTTTCTCATTTTTGCAACTTCCTGCAAAGGAAACGACATACTAGTGGCCAGCAATAGCTACTGGTTTAGAGGAAAGGAAACTGAGAGTTTCAAAAGTAACCCAGTTCCTCTTATCTAGCTGTGGGAAGTAAATAAATAAAATATTTTTAAATGTTTAAAATTTATCAGTTTATTTAACATTTTTCATTGGGTACATATAAACTTGTTGGAAACATATCTAAAAGACCAGAGGCCAATGGCTTGTATTCTTGTGACTGCTTTGGTTAAGGTAGAATATCAATATTCAAGTGTCATACAGTCCTCTTTTAAGATATACAACCACTGTAAGGACAGGAAAGAATGTTTCCTCTCCAGAATATTATTGAAGATGACTAGCAGGTGAAAAATGTGCATTTCAATGTTTTTAGGAGCTGTGATATTAAGGGCTGTAAGTAACATTGTTTGAATTCATTCTCTTTGGTGATTAAAATAAATCTTAGCTTACAACTGAGTCACTTGTAAGTCAGCTTGCCATGAAATAAAAAAAAAAAAAAAGAAAACACCATTCAAAGCCCTCAAGCTGATGAGTTGAGTGGTGTACCATTCTCTCTAACAGAAACTACATTTTAGATACTATAGGAGTGGGCAGAATGACAGGAGTAGAAGTTGGGCAAAATGAAAAAAAAATGTTTTGCAATAATTGATGGTGTAATATTTTAGGAGAGAGTCTACATAATTTCTTCTATTGTCATTAGAAATTTCAAACTGACATTTGTGGCTATAAGTTTCACTTTCTAGTTTTTATAGTGTTAGAGAAGCATATTCCAAAAATCCATAGGCACCTGCTCATAATTCCTTAAATGTAAGTAAAAGGCATGAAACAAATGATCCATCTCCATTCTTCCTTCCCCTTTCTAGTCCCTCAAAGAGTGTTTAATCATACTTTATTGAAATACCATGCTACTGGCAAAGCCAGGTCTTTCTGGCTTCAAGACCAGGGTCTTTTGAGTCTTATAGCTCTGTCTCTCAGTCATTGTCTTAGATCTTTTGTGCTGCTATAACAAAATATCCAATACTGAGTAATTTATAAATAATAGAAATTTATTTCTCACAGTTCTGGAGGCTATGAAGTCCAAAATCAAGGTGCCAGGAAGTTTGTGTCTAGTGAGGGCTGGTCTCTGCTTCCAAGATGGTACCTCAAAAGCTGTGTCCTCCTGAGGGGATGAACACTGTGTGTTCAACTGGTAGAAGGAGACAAAAATAAACTTCCACATTGTTTAAGTTTCTGTTTATGCCACTGAAACTAATCCTAACCAACTTATTTGATTAATTGTTTTTTAAATAATATAAGTAGGCTGTGCACAGTGGCTCATGCCTGTAATACAAGCACTTTGGGAGGCTGAGGGGAAAGGATCTCTTGAGGCCAGGAGTTCAAGGTCAGCCTGGGCAACATAGCAAGACCCTTTTTCTACAAAAATTTTGAAACTTAGCTGGGCATAGTGCCATGCACCAGTAGTCTCAGCTACTCAGGAGGCTGAGGTGGGAGGATCACTTGAGCCTAGGAGCTCGAGGTTACAGTGAGCTATGATCATAGCACTGCACTCCAGCCTGGGTGACAGAAAAAGACCTTGTTTCTTATTTTAAAAAATTTAAAAAAATATATATACACACACACATATATACTATTTATATATAAATTATATATTATATCTGAATGTATTATAATTATAAAAAATTCAAACAGTAGAAAAGTATTAGGGTAAAATGTGGAGTCTCTTTCACTAACCTCAGTTTTACTTCCCTTCACCAATATTATATAAACACTGTGAGCAATTTAATAGACATAGGTCCAGATTTTTTTGGTCCAATATTATGTTTGCCCCTGCCATGTTAGATATTTTTCTGTAGGAGAAGCAAGATTCCTCCTGAAAGAATATTCCTGTTTAGACTAAGTCTTATGTATATGAATATATGTATTTGCATACATGTGCATTCATGAAATTATAACAGAAACGTACATTTGATACATATGTGGCTTTTGTTTTAATAAATAGGAACATATATAGGTTTTGCTCTGGAGATTGCTTTCTTCATTTGACAATATGCACTGATACTCTTTCCTTCTTACTAGAATTAGAAATACATCATTCATCTTTTTTTTTTTTTTTTTTTTTTGAGACGAGGTTTCGCTCTTGGTGTCCTGGCTGGAGCACAATGGTGAGATCTTGGCTCACTGCAACCTCTGCCTCCCAGGTTCAAGCGATTCTCTTGTCTCAGCCTCCCAAGTAGCTGGGATTACAGGCGCCCGCCACAACACCTGGCTAATTTTTGTATTTTTAGTAGAGACGGGGTTTCACCACGTTGACCAGGCTGGTCTTGAACTCTTGACATCAGGTAATCCACCCGTCTCGGTCTCCCAAAGTGCTGGGATTACAAGCGTGAGCCACCGCGCCCGGTCATACATCATTCTTTTTTTTTTTTTTTTCGGATAATGCTTCAGAGTAAATTCTTTAAGTTCCTAGGCAGGTTTTACAGATGTCTTTCATCCATGATAAATGGTTGCTAAATTATGATTCTGCAAAAGTAATCCCGTAAACAGACATCCAGGTAAATTTTACAACCAGTGAAATTCTTAGGCCAAAAAACAAATAGCCAGACAAATCAGACCTACACACTATGAATTAAAATGAAGCCAGTGTTAGGGTTTCTAAAAGAACCAGAACAGGAAAGATTATTCAAACAGAAGATCCTCATCCTTCTCTTCAGCTGGAAGATTAGCAGGCTCCAACACCTCTCCAGCTGCTCTCCTTTGTTCCAAGTCCTTCTCAGATTTTTCCTTTAGAATCTTTTTCTTCTCCTGTATTTTCTTTAACCTATAGCACTCTTCTCACTCTCTCTCATCCAGCTCTGTGATGATATAAGCAAGAGTACGTTCAATGCGGGGAATGATGACATGTTCAATGGCATTTACACGCCTGTTGGTTATCTTAATAGCTTCATCCAAAGTAACAAAAGAAGTCTGCAGCGAAGCTAGTTCCACCAGTAGTTCCACTGCTTTGGCATAATTCCTCTTTAATTTAGCCAACTGTTCCCCACCTCTGGCTAAACCAGTCAGTTCATAACTGTCAGTTCCTTCATGGTAATGTTCAAATACTGGCAAAGTAACACCTGCTACATTATCTTTCTTCTCTCGAATCTTCACTTGGGCTTTATTTACATTTTGGATAACTGTAGTGCTGAAGTCACCTGCTGTGAACTTGGCTTCAGCTAGTGAAAAGGCAGCTTCTCTCATCACTTCGCCCATCAACATTTTAGACTCTATTATCTTCTTTAGGATCTGTCGAAATCAAAAAGTTAAGACGTCAGATTTTTTCTTCAGGAAGTTTCGACCTGTCTGTGCTCCCTTTAAACGAGCCTTCATGATGGTCTGTGCCATTCGCGAGGGAAAGATTTCAGTTCGGTCTTTGCCTGACATTCTGAAGATAACTGTTTGGCTCGGGTCCCCGGCCGGGCAACCGAGGCTACAACAGCTCCAGAACTGGCCCCCACGGTGACTTCCGCTACGGGAGTCAGCTGGTTGTGTCACTTGACCCCTCTTGTTGCTATGAGACAGCCTATCATTCATTTTTTAAACCACTTCATGTTATTCCATAATAGAGATGTAACTATTTCATCATATCTTCACAAGGGACATAAAGATTGACTACCTCTTCAAAACATGCTCAAAAGGTAAATTCAACGTATTATCAAGAAATATAAGAAAGTATGTTGATTAGGTGTAGCTTCTATGTTTAATAATAAATTTTATTCTTATTCTCCTTTGATATTTTAGACTTGTTAGCATGGCTTATTAAATTAGTTTAGTTCAGTTATGGAAATATCAAAGTTCAAATTCAGTAAATTTTAATATTAATTTCTTATTAACAGTTCTGGTTACTTATAAGTAATATGATTCTACCCATGTATTGTATTTTTATAGCAAACTCATATTTTGGATTGTGTATTACTATCCATAAATTTACACATGTACTTTCATAATTTAATTGTGGTTAGTGAGTTTTTGGCAGCAGTATACAATAGGTAGATTAAAATTAATTCTGAACTGATGCTAGAAGAAAGATTAGTTCACATATTGCATCTTGATAATAGTGCTGCTTTGTGCCTAAGGTATTGCTTAGCTATTCATATCCCTGAGTAATACCACTGGTAGGCCGGGTACGGGGGCTCACATCTGTAATCTCAGCACTTTGGGAGACCAAGGTAGGTGGATCACCTGAGGTCAGGAGTTCAAGACCAGCCTGGCCAACATGGTGAAACCACGTCTTTCCTAATAATACAAAAATTAGGACTGTGTGCGGTGGCTCACGCCTGTAATCCCAGCACTTTGGGAGGCCGAGGTGGGCAGATCACAAGGTCGGGAGATCGAGACCATCCTGGCTAACATGGTGAAACCCTATCTCTACTAAAAATACAAAAAATTAGCTGGGCGTGGTGGCAGGCACCTGTAGTCCCAGCTACTCAGGAGGCTGAGGCAGGAGAATGGCCTGAACCCGGGAGATGGAGCTTGCAGTGAGCCGAGATCGCGCCACTGCATTCCAGCCTGGGCGACAGAGAGAGACTCCGTCTCAAAAAAAAAAAAAGAAAAAAAAAAAAATTAGCCGGGCTGGTGGCACACTCCTGTAATCTCAGCTAGTCAGGAGACTGAGGCAGGAGAATCAATTGAACCCGGGAGGCGGAGGTTGCAGTGAGCCAAAATCATGCCATTGCATTCCAGCCTGGGCGATAAGAGAGAAACTCCATCTCCAAAGGAAAAAAAAAAGAAAAAGAAAAAAGAAACTATTAGTAAGCAGAATATTAATCTCTATGCTTTCACATCATAATGATTCCTTTTACTTCATGTATTTTTGTTTATGAAATTCTGTAAATCATACAAGCTACAGATGGTGACAGCAGTAGAAATATAAACTTTAGCACACTTGTGTATGCATTAATATGTTCAAAATATATAAAGAAATAGTATTTATATAAATAAATACATGTAAGTTTTAGATCATAATCAGAGGTTAACATGGGTTACCTTTGGGGAGGAGGAAATAAGAAAGGTGATATGGTTGGCAGACAAAGAGGATGTGGAGAAGTAATCTTCCACTGTATTAGTCTGTTTTCATGTTGCTGGGCAATTTGCAAAAGAAAGAGGTTTATTGGACTTACAGTTCCACATGGTTGGGGAGGCCTCACAATCATGGTGGAAGGTGAAAGGCATGTTTCACCTGGAAGCAGACAAGAGAAGAGAGCTTGTGCAGGGAAACTCCCCTTTTCAAAACCATCAGATCTTATGAGACTTATTCACTATCACAAGAACAGCATGAGAAAGGCCTGCCCCCATGATTCAATTACCTCCCACGGGGTTCCTCCCACAATACATGGGAATCCAAGATGAGATTTGGGTGGGGACACAGCCAACCCATACCATTCCACCCCTAGCCCCTCCCAAATCTCATGTCCTCACATTTTAAAATGAGTCATGGCTTCCCAACAGTGTCCCAAAGTCTTAATTCATTCCGGCATTAATTCATTTCAGTGTTAACTCTAAAGTCCACAGCCCAAAATCCAAAGTCTCATCCGAGACAAGGCAAGTCCCTTCCACCTATGGGCCTGTAAAATCAAAAGCAAGTTAGTTACTTCCTAGATACAATGAGGGTACAGCATTGGGTAAATACAGCCATCCCAAATGGGAGAAATTGGCCAATACAAGGGTGATACAGGCCCCATAAAAGTCTGAAATCCAGTGGGAGAGTCAAATCTTAAAGCTCCAAAATGATCTTCTTTGCCTCCATGTCTCACATCCAGGTCATGCTGATGCAAGAGGTGGATTCCTATGGTCTTGGGCAGCTCTGCCCCTGAGGCTTTGAAGGGTACAGCCTCTCTCCAAGCTGCTTTCACAGGCTGACATTGAGTGTCTGCGGCTTTTCTAGGTGCACAGTGCAAGCCATCCATGGATCTACCATTCTGGGGTCTAAAGGATGGTGGCCCTCTTCTCACCACTCTACTAGATGGTGCCCCAGTAGGGACTCTGCGTGGGGGCTCCAACCCCACATTTCCCTTTCACACTGCCCTAGCAGAGGTTCTCCATGAGGGACCTGGCCTTGCAGCAAACTTCTACATTTTCTGAAATCTAGGTGGAGGTTCCCAAACCTCAATTCTTGACTTCTATGCACCCACAGGTTCAAAGTCATGTGGAAGCTACCAAGGCTTGGGGCTTGCACCCTCTGAAACAACAGCCCAAGCTGTACTTTGGTCCCTTTCGTTCATGGCTGGGTTGCAGGGTATGAAGTCCCTAGACTGCATACAGCAGAGGGACCCTGGGCCCAGCCCACAAAACCAGTTTTTCCTCCTAAGCCTCTGGGCCTGTGATGGGAGGGGTTGCCATGAAGAACTCTGACATGCCCTGGAGGCACTTTCCCCATTGTCTTGGGGATTAACATTCAGCTCCCCGTTACCTATGCAAATTTCTGCGGCCAGCTTGAATTTCTTCTCAGAAAATGGGATTTTCTTTTCTAGCGCATTGTCAGGCTGCAAATTTTCCAAACTTTTATACTCTGCTTCCCTTATATAACTGAATGCCTTTAATAGCACCCAAGTCACCTCTTGAATGCTTTGCTGCTTAGAAATTTCTTCTGCCAGGTACCCTAAATCATCTCTGTCAAGTTAAAAGTTCCACATATATCTAGGGCAGGGGCAAAATACCACTAGTCTCTTTACTAAAACATAACAAGAGTCACCATTGCTCCAGTTCTCAACAAGTTTCTCATTTCCATCTAAGACCACCTCAGCCTGGACTTTATCATTCATATCACTATCAGCATTTTGGGCAAAGTCATTCAACAGGTCTCTAGGAAGCTCCAAACTTTCCTGCATATTCCTGTCTTCTGAGCCCTCCAAACTGTTCCAACCTCTGCTTGTTACCCAGTTCCAAAGTTGCTCCCACGTTTTCAGGTATCTATTCAGCAGCACCCCACTCTACTTGTACCAATTTACTGTATTAGTTCACTTTTATGCTGCTAATGAAGACATACCTGAGACTGGGCAATTTGCAAAGGAAAGAGGTTTATTGGACTTACAGTTCCTCATGGCTGGGGAGGCCTCACAATCATGGTGGAAGGTGAAAGGTATGTCTCACATAGAAGCAGACAAGAGAAGAGAGCTTATGCAGGGAAACTCCCCTTTTTAAAACCATCAGATCTTGTGAGACTTTTTCACTATCCCGAGAACAGCATGGGAGATACCTGCCCCCTGATTCAATTACCTCCCACCGGGTCCCCCTACAACACATGGGAATTCAAGATGAGATTTGGGTGGGGACACAACCAAACCATATCGCCTCCCCAAAAAAATCCTGTTTAGATTAAGTTTTATGTTTATGAATATATGTATATGCATGCATGTGCATGCAGAAAATTATAACAGATAGAGTATTACATATATAAATGTGTATTTTTTTATATGTACTGATTTGTAGAATAACAAGTATAAGTGGTATGAGGTGAAAGAAGCAGTTTGTTCATAAGTGTGTAGTATGATTTCATTTCAGTAAAAATTAACAAAAACATGCTTGTATGTGCATGGGCATATAGTAATATGTGCTCATATATGTATGCTATACATATATATGCTATACATATGTATATGTATGCTGTTATATGTGTGTGGAAGCAATATGTTTGGGATGATACACACCCTTGCAATAACATGAACTACCTCAGGGAGTAGTATAGATGACAGAGACAATGGGGGAAGAGGAGCAATGTTACCTTAAAAAAAATCTTTGCATCCTATTACTGGTTACAAGAGGCATATAACATTATTTTTAAAATTTTAAATAAATATGTTAGCAACCTTTGCATGGATGGAAAATTTTAAATAAGTATGAAAATACCGATTGCATATACCTTTTGAAATTCTACTGATAGGGATTTATCCTACATATTTACATATACAAACATTTATGACATTCATAGCACCGTTGTTTTAAAGGTGAGATGTTGGAAACATCCTAGCTATTTAACTACAGAGGAATGGCTAAATAAGTTTGGCTCATTCAAAGGATACCATGGAAGAGCAAGGCTTTGCATAGTATTTTGATATGAAACTGTTAGAAGCACCTTTATTTTGAATAGCCTCTAAGAAGAAGTTGGATAGAAAGAGTGTAAATGAAATATTCTGATTAATAACAGAATCTATACTGTAAGATGGTGAATTTCTGATCAGAAAGGCGAAAAGTTCATCTACAGCTTAAGTGGACAAATTTAATTTTCTATAACATTCATATCTGATAGATTGAATAAACAGGTACGATTTCCTTAAGAAACATGCTTTATAAGCATTATGGTCATTACTTTCTTTAAAGTTAAGGGTTACATTCCTGGGAGATTAAATAAAAACTGAAAAGTTAACAGTTGACTTGCCTGAGGAGCTGCTTGTTCTTCCTCAGCAAATACTGAAGAGAAAAATAATGTAATATAACAGAAACAGAGTAAGCATCTGATAAACATGTAACGGCAGCAGGGAAAACACAGGACTTTGCCCTACCTGGGTGGTGTCCT